CCTGCAGGAGAGACCTCCAGCACACCACCCCTTAAACACAGCAGACGACGTAGAGGCCGCAGCCGCTAATATGACAAAGGCGATACAGGAGGCCCTCAACGCTGCCTCTACGATCGTCCCGATGTCCACCAGAAGGGATGATCTGCCGCAACACATCTGCGTGCAGATCAAGAGAAAAAGGGCCTTAAGGAGACTCTGGGCGAGTACTCGCTGCCCGAGAATCAAAACAAAACTGAACACCTTGTCGGAGGAACTGTCGGTTGCAGTCCAGGCACACAGAGGAGATGCCTGGGAGCGGCGCACATGGAAGGCGGAAGAGCATGATGCGTCGCTCTATAAACTGAACCGACAGTTAACTAAAGCCAAACCTCCCGTTTGCCCGCTGACCAACAACGCGGGCGAACGTTGTTACGATGCCAAGGGTAGAGCGGATATCCTAGTCGAGCACTTCGAGGAGCAATTTATGCCGAACCCAGCAAGTGCGGAGTTCTTGGAGCTTCATGCCCACAAAAGGAGAGTCGCGTACAGGAGTTCCTGTCGTCGCCCGCGCCGCCTCTTGCAGGAGAGTGGTTCATCTCCCCCGCTGAACTGCGGTGGACAGCAACCCGCCTGCAACCGAGGAAGGCGCCGGGGCACGACGGGATTACCAACGCTGCACTCCGACAGCTGCCCCATAGAGTCCTAGTAGAGCTTGGTCGACTCTACAATGGGATATTGCGGACATCCCACTTCCTGGAGGACTGGAAGAAAGGCAAAGTAATCGTCTTGCCGAAACCCGGGAAGGACAGGCGTAGAGCTGCCAGCTACAGGCCGATCACGCTGCTACCACACATAGCTAAACTTGAAAGATTGTTGCTAAGACGCCTCCGCCCGTGCATCCAACTTCGGGCGGAGCAGCACGGATTCAGGAGGGGTCACTCTACAGCAACACAGCTGACCAGAGTGCTGCACCTGCTTGCGGCCGATTACAACCGAGGCCGCACTACGTTGGGCGTCTTTCTCGATATCGAGAAGGCGTTCGACAGGGTGTGGCATTCTGGGCTACTTTATAAATTGGAAGAACAGACCAGTGTCCCTCCTGCTATGTTGCGGCTAGTGGCGTCTTTCCAGGCAGACAGGAAGTTCTACGTCTGCGTAGAGGGCGCCGAGTCCGCAACCAGAACCATCAGAGCTGGCGTTCCTCAGGGCAGCTGTTTGTCTCCAGTCCTGTACGCGGCTTATACCAACGACATCCCTACCCTGGCAGGAAGGCTGCAACAGTGGGAGGATGACGTGGAATTGGCGTTATACGCGGACGATAGCGCTTATTTCACCTCGTCCAGAAGAGCCCACATTGCCACTGCCAGGATGCAACGTCTTTTGGACCTGCTGCCACCATGGCTAGATGAGTGGAGGATGGTCGTCAACGTTGGTAAGACGACCGCTCTGCTCACTCGCCGCCTCAGGAACCTACCACCTCAACTAACCCTCAATGGCCAGCAGATCGCGTACGAGAAGGCCGTGACCTACCTTGGGTGCCGGATCGATCGGGCGCTGCGCATGACTGCGCACGTCGACCTCGTCGTCCGCAGAGCACGATGTGCGCGGGCGATGCTACGTCCGGTCCTGGCATCCAAGTTACCACTTACCACCAAAGTGCGAGTATATAAAACCTACATTAGTCCATTATCACCTATGCTGCTCCGGCCTGGTACGCGCTTCTGAGCGAGCCTCTGAGGCGGCGACTGCAGGCCCAGCAAAATATGGCGTTAAGAACCATCGTCGGTGCGGGTCGCTACGTCCGGAATGACGTCATAGCGGCCAACCTGAAGATTGACACCATACAGGAATTTGTGGCCCGGTTGGCGCGCGGATTGTTCGACCGTGCAGACAACGGGCCGCATATACATCTCAACAACTTTGCGCCGCTACACACTCGCCCTCCGGACGGGCGACCCTATCAGAGAACTCCTCTCTATATCGATTAGAGAGTCGAGTAACAACCCTCAATGCCGCTGAAAGGCCTACTCCGACTTTATTAGATAACCTCCTTTTTTCGTAGTCATAACCGACTACGAAAAATTTACCGATTGCGACAAATCGTATGACACCTACAATGCCATTAGAAGGCTCCCAGGACCGGTCCATAGTGGTGGGTGGAAACCTCCATGTGCCCAAAGACACGTGAAGAAGACATCATACAAATCGTTGAGTCTCGTCCGGACCGCGCTAGTGAGCGGTCTCGTCCGCCGGTCGTCGACTCCCGCCCGGGTGGGAGAAGTACAGCGCGTCGCTTCGCAGTGGGTGCGCGCGCTGTGGGGCCAACTCGGCTTGCGTGGAGCCTTGAGGACGCCCCTGACCCCACCCGGGATGAAGATCACCCAACGCTGCGTTTCACCTACACGCTGGGAAGCGAACTCCGAAGGCCCGGCGTGCCCAGGTGCGCGCGCCTGTTGGTGACTTCGGCTCCGCGTCGAGTTGCATCTCCGCGGAACCTGAAGGTTGCTGACCCTTCGGCAGATTCCCTTCCCAGAGGCGCGAGACACGCCAACTTTTTGCCTAGGAATACCAGGCCTTCAACTAGAGCCAGGAAGGAGCACGGGAGGCCTGGAGCAGCTGCTGTTGGAGCGCCCTCCTGTCGGCAAGATTGGCCCTGCGTCGACTCCCATCCTCAGGACTCCGCGGGGCTTCGATACGGCCGACCCTCCGGTAGCATCGACCTGGTGGCGCGCAATACGCCAACCAAGATTACCAACAATGTCGTACTTGTACGGCTCCCAAGACCGGCTCATTGATATGAGCTGTGAGGATTACCCGGGTAATGGAGAACTCCCCGAGGCCCGAAACCTGCATGGGATGAACTAAAGTAGTCCCATAGCAGACGACAATCAACAACATACAAATCGTTCGGGACCAGCTACCAGTATATAATATAATCAAGAAAGAAAAGTATATAGAGAAGTGATAGGGAAAGTAATTACTCTCTCACGGTTTTATTCCCAAGGGATCATTTACCTTTAAAATAAGTACAGTTCATTGGTGTCGCTAGCGCGGCACATATTGAAGAATTAAGACGTTGGGACCGGGACGACCTCGGAAGACCCGTAATCCCCGCCTGAACCTATTTGAAGAAAACGAAACGACGAAACGAAGAGGTCGACGCCCTTGTGTGTTACTCCGTTACGGGGTTCACATACGTTGTTCCCGAACCCAACGTAGGTGTCATAGGAGGTTAGGGAATCCGCTGCTGAACGAGCAGTGACAAAGACCCTTCCCTCGTTCCTGTCCTTTTTCACCTAGCTGGCCCAGTGCAGGCGAGCGCCAACGTGTATACGGTTCGCTTGGTTGGCGTGCCTTGCCACCACTCGGGATCGCTCGCCACGACTCGTCTTACTTCGGAACAATGTCGGTTTTTCTGCACAAATCAAAGCCGCTCGCCTACACTCGGCACTTCATGTTCAAATGTCAGTTGGCCATGTCAGTATGTTTCTCATTCAAACTTGGCCAACATGTAGACTTTAACACTTGCCTTGTATCAGTGCATCTACACTCGCGTCGGTTGAAGCTTGGCCAACACGTAATGCCGGCTTTGGTAATAGTTAGATATTTTCAGTACAAGTATTGTCCTACTGGTAATTGTTTAAAGCTTGCATATGAGTCCATGTGCAGTTTATGTATTTTAACTCAATTATGTGGAAACTATTTTATTTATTTAATTATGTGTTGTTATAAATATAATAACTTTAATAATAAAAAATCTTTCGGACTCTTATAAATCTGCCTAGAACTATTTCGTCACAATACAAAACACAGCAGCATAAAGCTGCTAGTTCACGCTGGTATTCTCTGACAACGTGCTTCCAGTGAGTGTTGAGTGTGACTCTTGAAATGTTTAGTCTTAGTTACCAGCCCTGAGGACTAATACGTACTCGTAATGCCATTCGACACTTTCCATCCGGTGAATCGCATGTTGTTTGCCCCAATTCAAAAAAAAAAAAAAAGAGACGGAACGCCTCGTTACTAGAACAAAGGATCCCCGGTTCTCTACACTCACCATACGAAAGACACCAGCATTGAGCTGTTATTTAACGCTGGTTTTCTGTGGCAGCATGGTTCATTCCAAGGACCCATTCGTGCTGCACCATAATATTAATAGAAGCGTGGCTCTTGAAATTCTCTGTTTTTTTTATTCTAAAAACCTAACCTGTATCGTGGTGGCAGTACTTATTTATTTATTTATTTTATTCTTTATTGCATCTTTAACAAAAGAATACAAAGGGCGGACTTAATGCCTTGAGGCATTCTCTACCAGTCAACCCATGGAGTGGTGAGAGTTTGACGTAGGTGTGGCAATATAGAATAAGATAACACAATACAAATGATAATTAACTACATAATATATACAAACTACTAATAAATAAACTATACATATATGATCTATCCTTACATATATACAAATATATAAATAAATGGATATACATACAAGTAAACATATTTAAATACATACATAGTTAGTATATACAAATGACTACGAATATATACGTCTGTTTGGCAATACATATTAAATAGATAAGTCATGTAGAATGCGTTGTCTTTAATAAATGATCACGGACCAACTTTTTAAAAGCGTACTTATTGGGAGCTTTTCTGATGTCATCGGGCAAGGAGTTCCAAAGGCGTGTAGCCTGAACTGTGAAGGAGTTACCATAGAACTCGGTGAAGTGAACTGGAGTACAGATTTTGTTGTTAGAAGAAGAGCGTAGGACCCTATCATGAGATGAGGAAAGATAATGAAATTTAGTACACCTACATATATTCCACAAGGACAAACGTCCAGACCGGAACAATTATTTGCAAGCCATGCAAATACCTGTTCCGTGCGGGATTCGAACCTGCGGCCCTCAGCGCTACAGCTCATTGCTAAGCTACTGTGCCGCGTAGTTGCCAAATTTAGCCAAGTTAGTTAGTTAGTTAGCCAAGTATAACAATTATAACAGATAAAATCAACGTGTTATATCCAGAGAATTCACTCTGAAGGAGAGCTTCTGGTTCGCCCTGACTTCGTTCACTCCGCAAGGCGGAGGGGAGGCACCCAAGGCTCTGTCGGGTAGGACGCTGGTGGCCGCCTACTGGCTGTTTGTGGTGCTCATGCTAGCCACCTTCACAGCCAACCTGGCCGCGTTCCTCACAGTAGAACGGATGCAGGTAGGTTCTCGTGTAAAAGAAACATTGATTTCTTTTAATAATAATTCTATTTAGAAAGCTTCGCAAATTTATTTATTTATGTATCTAAACTTCATAAACAACAAAGGAGACATTTCTTTTTGTATGAAGAATGGGCCCATCACAAATTTTAGCGACACTTAATGAAATGCACGTCAATTTATTTCATATATATCTGTTCATTAATTATTTACTTAAATAGTACTCTAATAGTCACAAAATGGAAAGGATCCGGACTGCCGACCAAGTTCGAGCGGACCCAGAAGGATCTAAGAATATCAATGTAAAAATTTGTGGTAATTCAATTTCCTTCTGTTTTAAAACACAAAAATTCTGAAGTTCTTTGGCAAGAATTTTGGATAACATAATAAGTGTTAATAAATACCCAGAATAAAAAATGGCTTTGAGACTTTGTATAATATCTGGATCAACATACATCTTTGTGAAGCAACATTTTCCAAGATGAACTTATTTAAAAATAAAATTAGATCTCGTTTTGACAATGACCATCTCCAAGGTTTAATGACAAGGTTTAGTGTGCACCAACTTAAATCCATAGATACTTCTTACAGATTGTTGAGATCGAAAAATGCCATATTTCGCCTTAATATTGGGTACTTACTTTGTTATTTTTTAATAAGATGTATCTTTATTAAAAGGGAGGATCGATGCGTTCGAAATGTGGTGTTTAACTAGGATGTCCGCGTACCATGTACCGCGAATAGGACCAACAAGTCCATCCTGGGGCAGCTTCGTGTTGACACCAGACTCTCTACTACGTGTTAATTAATACCAGAGTATTCTGAGTTACTTTGGTCACATTGCCCGACACCCGCCTAATAACTTGGATAGTCTTATAGTCGTAGAAAGGGTGGGGGGTAAAAGACCACGCGGCCGATCATCTAGCCGCTGGTCGGTCAAATAACTTACTGGCCTTTCATTCCCGACTGCAATGCGAAAATGGAGGGACGGAATGTAGTGTTTTTATACGTGGTAGAGCCATGCTGCAGTTATATTAGTAGTACAGTTGCAGCTCGAATGGATCGGTTCGACCGGGGAAGGACCACGCTCTCACAGAATACCAGTGTCAACCACTTCTCATTGACGCGGTCATTGGCAAAGTGGTGAAACGCAACCGTCGGAACTTCTCCGCCGCCTGGATAAACTACAGAAAAGCATTCGACTCGATGCCCCATACATGGCTAAAGAGAGTCCTCGAGCTGTACAAGATAGACTGTACAGTTAGAAACTTCCTCGAGCAGTGTATGGGGCTGTGGAATACGATCCTTTGTCATATGGGCGAGCAGATGATGGCTGCGGAAAGCCACTTAAGGATAAGAAGGGGTATCTTCCAGGGCGATTATCTGATAAATCTGGTTCTGCCTCTCTTTGAACCCTCTCAGTACTTTACTGGAGGGCTCCGGGAGGGGTTTTCAGCTTCGGAAAGGAGGTACAAAAGTGACCCACCTTTTTATATGGATGACCAAATGAAACAGTCAGTTTGCGACGTGTTTTATGCACGCTTGACCAAAGTGCTTAACAGCCTTTTGTCTGGTGTGAACAAGACACACGCATATAACGGTTGGGTCGTGCCTGTCCTCATGTATACCTTTGGCATACTCAGGTGGACTCAGATTGAACTTAACGCCCCGGATAGAAAAGTCCGCACTACTATGACGTCCCATAGGATGCATCATCCGAGATCGTCGGTAATGAGGCTGTACTTGCTGCGAAAGCATGGTGGAAGTGGCTTTTTGAGAGCGCTCACCATTCATAACCGCGAAGTGTGCAGCCTCCGTAATTACTTCCTGGTGAGATCGGATGATCCATTCTATAAGGACGTAACTTTTTTGTGATAAAGGACTTACCCCTCTATCCTTAGCCAACGAGCAATGGCAAGACCCGGCAGTGCAGAGCATTTCCGACCGGGAGACCGTATGGAAGGAAAAGGAGCTCCACGGGGGGTTTTACAAGGCTCTACATGAGCCTTTCGTAGACACAGTAGCTTCCCTCCACTGGCTACGCTTTGGTGACCTCTTCGGGGAAACCGAGGGTTTTGTCTGTGCAATACAGTATCAGGTTATTAAGACCAACAACTATCGTAGATACATCCTAAAGGATGGCACCGTCGACAACTGTCGAGCTTGTCGCCATCCCGGTAAGTCACTTAGACATGTCATCTCCGGTTGTTCAGCGCTTTCTAACTCTGAGTACTTGCACAGGCACAACCTAGTAGCCAGAATTTTTCACTAGGAGCTCGCTCTGAAATACGGTCTCGTGGACCGGAAATTGCCGTATTACAAGTACTTGCCGGAAGCCGTGCTCGAAAATGATCGCGCCAGGCTCTACTGGGATAGGACTATTCTTGCGAATAAGCCTGATATTGTGCTGATGGACCGGGCACAGTCAAGGATATTTTTGGTCGACATTACCATTCCGTATGACGAGAACCTCGTGAAAGCCGAAACAGATAAACGAACAAAATATCTGGATCTGGCTTACGAGGTGACCGACATGTGGGGTGGTCTGCCGACTGAAATTATTCCTGTAGTCATTTCTGCTGACGGGTTAATCCCAGTCAGCCTCTCGGGTCATCTGAGGAGGCTAGGACTCCGTGACGGACTGCTCCAGGCTCAAATGCAGAAGGCGGTGCTCCTCGATACGGCCCGCATCGTCCGCTGGTTTCTCTCCCTTTCCCCCTAACCCTCGGCCGTTTGGTCTCCCCTGCCGAGGGCCTCCATCTGGTTGGGCTTTTGTTTATTTATGTATTATTTATTTATTTGTGCTGGTATATGAAATATATATTTATGTATATTTATCATTTTCTTTTATATATTTATTGGGCCCAATCAGTGTATTCTCAATACACTAATAATAATAATTATTATTATTTCTTGATAATAATAATAATATTTACAATGGGTGCTGTAAAGCACCCGAAATGTCAGGAATAAAACTGTTAAAATTAAACGCGATAAAATCCGTATAATTAGGTTTCATTTAATGAGTAGTCTTCGCGTAAATATAAGAAATAAACTAAATGAAATCGAAGTGTCTGCTTGTAATGTCAAAATAATAGCTTTTTACTAAATAGATGTGAATGTGTATACAGTACTTATAACAATAAAACAAATTATTTTTTTTATCTATGTGTCGGTCCATCTGTCCGTCCGTTTCAGTCTTTTTACTTTACACAAGTGGTAAAATTAAAAAAAAAAACGTATTCGAAAACAATTGAATACGTCCCATATACATACATTATTAAAGAGAACTCAAAAACTACTAGTCAGATCTTGATTTATTTAGGACCACACGAGAAGCACCAGCCTTCAGATAAAAAAATCATCATATACGGTTCACCCAGTGAAAATTTATGAGGTGAACACACATAAAAAGAACAAACAGTCGAATTGAATACCTATTCCTTTTTGAAATCGGTAAAACAGAATAAAGGTTCCGCGCAACCCATGTAATAAATTCACAGGAACAGCTAGTAATAGTAGTTAAAATACTTGATTGTCCTTATCCATGATGAAGGAAAGAGTTATTCTTACCGGATGCATTAATGGCAAGTAGTATGTGACCGTATTGCTCCCGAATTGGGTAGTCCCATACCCTATACTGCGCCTGATCCGAGGTCGCGTTCAGGGTAATTTCTTTCCAAACCCTGCGGACGTTACACGGTTAAGCGGTTAATTACACATTAGTACTATGTTTGAAGTGAAAACTTCTATAGAATCGTTGTTATTTGAAACTCGATGAAACGAACATATATATTTAAACTCGAAGCAACATTTTCCAAGATGAACTTATGTAAAATTAAAATTAGATCTCGTTTTGACGATGACCATCTCCAAGTTTTAATGACAAGGTTTGTGTATTATTTTTAGTACAGGGATCACCAATTAGTTTAATTGCTGGTCCGTTTAAATAAAATATAAATCAGTCGCGGTCCATTTGCTAGATGATGACTAGCAACCGATGTTGAAATTGTCAGTATACAAATAAAACTAAAAGAAATCAAACTTTTATCGATAAGGATCTTCTTCTTCTTGAACGAAACATAACAACATCTTCATAACTGAAGGTCGTGTCCGTAGTTTAAAACCTACGTAGCGCTGTTCACTTTTTTTTTTGAGGATAGGGTGACAAACGAGCACACAGCCCACCTGATGGTAAGTGGTTGCTGTGGCCCATAGATATCTACATCTGTCTTCGATTACGAATCAAAATGCAGAACAGATGTGTTGTCACCCGTGAGGACTAAGATGGAATGCCTCGTTTCCGGTAAAAAGGGTCTCCGGTTCTCTACACTCACCATACGAAACACAGCACATTAAGCTACTATTTGACACTGGTATTCTGTGAGAGCGTGGTCCTTCCCCGGTCGAACCGATCCATTCGAGCTGCAACTTTACTACTAATATAACTGCAGCATGGCTCTACCACGTATAAAAACACTACATTCCGTCCCTCCATTTTCGCATTGCAGTCGGGAATGAAAGGCCAGTAAGTTATTTGACCGACCAGCGGCTAGATGATCGGCCGCGTGGTCTTTTACCCCCCACCCTTTCTACGACTATAAGACTATCCAAGTTATTAGGCGGGTGTCGGGCAATGTGACCAAAGTAACTCAGAATACTCTGGTATTAATTAACACGTAGTAGAGAGTCTGGTGTCAACACGAAGCTGCCCCAGGATGGACTTGTTGGTCCTATTCGCGGTACATGGTACGCGGACATCCTAGTTAAACACCACATTTCGAACGCATCGATCCTCTCTTTTAATAAAGATACATCTTATTAAAAAATAACAAAGTAAGTACCCAATATTAAGGCGAAATATGGCATTTTTCGATCTCAACAATCTGTAAGAAGTATCTATGGATTTAAGTTGGTGCACACTAAACCTTGTCATTAAACCTTGGAGACCGTCATTGTCAAAACGAGATCTAATTTTATTTTTAAATAAGTTCATCTTGGAAAATGTTGCTTCACAAAGATGTATGTTGATCCAGATATTATACAAAGTTTCAAAGCCATTTTTTTATTCTGGGTATTTATTAACACTTGTTATGTTATCCGAAATTCTTGGCAAAGAACTTCAGAATTTTTGTGTTTTAAAACAGAAGGAAATTGAATTACCACAAATTTTTACATTGATATTCTTAGATCTTTCTGGGTCCGCTCGAACTTGGTCGGCAGTCCGGATCCTTTCCATTTTGTGTCTATTAAAGTACTATTTAAGTAACTAACACTATTTAAATTCCAAGGTGACTGCGTACCTCTTTAAAAATAAGATTGAAAAAATTCAGTAGTATACGTAGGTAGAAGAATCTAGCATATAGTTAACCTGGTACCCTGGCGCTGGTAGCAAAAAAAGTTGTGGGAGCTCTCATTGCTATGCACTATCTAATACCTAAATACAGAGGTCTTGCGGCTCAGATACACTAATTCAATCCACACGCACTCTTTTTTTACTCGGGTATCTCGGGTTTAGATTATGGTTGAGGAAGTCTTTCTTACGAAAAAATTCGTTAGCCGCAACACCTTACTTTATATTTCTGTATACATGTAATTTTAATAGAATAGGGTATGTTTTGTCACATACAAGCACAAAGTATACGTGATAGTAAGTAGGTGCTGTGGCCCATAGACATCTACGTTTATCGTCTATTAAGAATAAAAATGCAGATGCGTTACCTCATTGAGGAATGAGATGAAATGCCTCGTTTCCAGTAAGAAAGGATCTCCGGTTTTCTACACTCACCATACGTAATACAGCAGTATAAAGATGCTATTTTACGCTAGTATTCTGTGAGAGCGTGGTCTTTCCCCGGTGGAGCCGACCCGTTCGTGCTACACCCATAATATAATTGCAGCGTCGCTCTGCCACTTAAAATAGTTGTAATAAAATGTATAGGTACAGTGTAACATAGGCATAATTGGGTTCCCATTCATTTTATACAGACCCCAGTCTCATCCCTGGAGCAGTTGGCGCGCCAGTCCCGCATCAACTACACCGTGGTGGAAGGCTCCACCACTCACCAGTACTTCATCAATATGAAATTCGCTGAGGATACCCTCTACAGGTAAAACGATCGTCTGCTTGAAATTAAGACTTAGATTCTTATTTATTTTCTATAGAAGAGTTTCTTTTTTTAATAGAATGAGAGTGACAAACGAGCGCCATAGTCCACCTGACGGTAAGTGGATGCCATGGCCATAGACATATCTACGTTTATCCTCGATTAAGAATCAAAATGCAGACGCAAAAGGACTTAACCAAAAATCGGTTTGGTTTCTTATGTTAAGTGTAGCGAACCGGAGGCCTATTTTACTAGAAACAGGGCATTCCATTTTAGTCCTCTGGGGTGACAACGCTCCTGCATTTTGGTTCTTACGTCTCTTAATATTAAACGTTAGATTCTTAAATAAGGGTAGATGTATGTGTATGTCCACGTTTGTCAACTTAACTTATTTAAAAAAAACATATGTGCAATTCACACACGATAGAAGTGATACCTTTAGTAAATTAAATTTCGAGAGAATGAGATGAATACAGAGTACAGGCTAAATGCGATAGACGTATATGTTTGCCTCTTTTTAGTGTCGCGTTTTCCTTTCATCGAGTTTCAAATAACAACGATTCTAAAGAAGTTTTCACTTCACAGAAGACATCTATGATCGCCAATAGGAAACACTTGTATACTGCATTCTATCTCATTCCCTCGGAGGCTTAATGCTATTCACTTGTATGTCACTTTTTCGTTTCATCGAGTTTCAAATAACAACGATTCTATAGAAGTTTTCACTTCAAACATAGTACTAATGTGTAATTAACCGCTTAACTGTGTAACGTCCGCAGGGTTTGGAAAGAAATTACCCTGAACGCGACCTCGGATCAGGCGCAGTATAGGGTATGGGACTACCCAATTCGGGAGCAATACGGTCACATACTACTTGCCATTAATGCATCCGGTGAGAATAACTCTTTCCTTCATCATGGATAAGGACAATCAAGTATTTTAACTACTATTACTAGCTGTTCCTGTGAATTTATTACATGGGTTGCGCGGAACCTTTATTCTGTTTTACCGATTTCAAAAAGGAAGAGGTATTCAATTCGACTGTTTGTTCTTTTTTATGTGTGTTCACCTCATAAATTTTCACTGGGTGTACCGTATATGATGATTTTTTTATCTGAAGGCTGGTGCTTCTCGTGTGGTCCTATATAAATCAAGATCTGACTAGTAGTTTTTGAGTTCTCTTTAATAATGTTCGTATTCAATTGTTTATATCGAATTCGTTTTTTTTTTTTTAATTTTACCACTTGTGTAAAGTAAAAAGACTGAAACGGACGGACAGATGGACCGACACACAGATAAAAAAAATAATTTGTTTTATTGTTATAAGTGCTGTATACACATTCACATCTATTTAGTAAAAAGCTATTATTTTGACGTTACAAGCAGACACTTCGATTTTATTTAGTTGTACAGATTTCTTATATTTACGCGAAGACTACTCATTAAATGAAACCTAATTATACGGATTTTATCGCGTTTAATTTTAACAGTTTTATTCCTGACATTTCGGGTGCTTTACAGCACCCATTGTAAATATTATTATTATTATCAAGAAATAATAATAATTATTATTATTAGTGTATTGAGAATACACTCTGGTTGGGCCCAATAAATATATAAAAGAAAATGATAAATATACATAAATATAAATATTTCATATACCAGCACAAATAAATAAATAATACATAAATAAACAAAAGCCCAACCAGATGGAGGCCCTCGGCAGGGGAGACCAAACGGCCGAGGGTTAGGGGGAAAGGGAGAGAAACCAGCGGACGATGCGGGCGGGATCGAGGAGCACCGCCTTCTGCATTTGAGCCTGGAGCGGTCCGTCACGGAGTCCTAGCCTCCTCAGATGACCCGAGAGGCTGACTGGGGTTAACCCGTCAGCAGAAACGACTACAGGAATAATTTCAGTCGGCAGACCACCCCACACGTCGGTCACCTCGTAAGCAAGATCCAGATATTTTGTTCGTTTATCTGTTTCGGCTTTCACGAGGTTCTCGTCATACGGAATGGTAATGTCGACCAAAAATATCCTTGACTGTGCCCGGTCCATCAGCACAATATCAGGCTTATTCGCAAGAATAGTCCTGTCTGTGTGGTGGCTCCAGTAGAGCCTGGCGCGATCATTTTCGAGCACGGCTTCCGGCAAGTACCTGTAATACGGCAATTTCAGGTCCACGAGACCGTATTTCAGAGCGAGCGTGTAGAATTCTGGCTACTAGGTTGTGCCTGTGCAAGTACTCAGAGTTCGAAAGCGCTGAACAACCGGAGATGACATGCCTAAGTGACTTACCGGGATGGCGACAAGCTCGACAGTTGTCGACGGTGCCATCCTTTAGGATGTACATCTGATCTACGATAGTTGTTGGTCTTAATAACCTGATACTGTATTGCACAGACAAAACCCTCGGTTTCCCCGAAGAGGTCACCAAAGCGTAGCCAGTGGAGGGAAGCTACTGTGTCTACGAAAGGCTCATGTAGAGCCTTGTAAAACCCCCCCGTGGAGCTCCTTCTCCTTCCATACGGTCTCCCGGTCGGAAATGCTCTGCACTGCCGGGTCTTGCCACTGCTCGTTGGCTAAGGATAGAGGGGTAAGCCCTTTATCACAAAAAAGTTGCGTCCTTACAGAATGAATCATCCGATCTCACCAGGAAGTAATTACGGAGGCTGCACACTTCGCGGTTATGCATAGTGAGCGCGCTCAAAAAGCCACGTCCACCATGCTTTCGCAGCAAGTACAGCCTCATTACCGACGATCTCGGATGATGCATCCTATGGGACGTCGTAGTAGTGCGGACTTTTCTATCCAGGGCGTTAAGTTCAATCTGAGTCCACCTAGTATGTGATGTGAGTATGCCAAAGGTATACATGAGGACAGGCACGACCCAACCGTTATATGCGTGTGTCTTGTTCATACCAGACAAAAGGCTGTTAAGCACTTTGGTCAAGCGTGCATAAAACACGTCGCAAACTGACTGTTTCATTTTTCCTCTTCTCTCTAATCCTTGTTCATCCATATGAATAGGTGGGTCACTTTTGTACCTCCTTTCCGAAGCTGAAAACCCCTCCCGGAGCCCTCCAGTAAAGTACTGAGAGGGTTCAAAGAGAGGCAGAACCAGATTTATCAGATAATCGCCCTGGAATATACCCCTTCTTATCCTTATGTGGTTTTCCGCAGCCGTCATCTGTTCGCTCATATGACAAAGGATCGTACTCCACAGCCCCATATACTGCTCGAGGAAGTCTCTAACTGTACAGTCTATCTTATACAGCTCGAGGACCCTTTTTAGCCATGTATGGGGCATTGAGTCGAATGCTTTTCTGTAGTCTATCCAGGCGGCGGAGAAGTTCCGACGGTTGCGTTTCACCACTTTGCCAATGACCGCGTCAATGAGAAGTGGTTCCTTGGTTCCACGACCACCGCCCCGACATCCGTTTTGAGCGCGTGACATCACCTGGTTTGAGTCCAGGTGACGAGTGATTCTCGCGCTCAAAATGGATGTTAGTGTCTTATATATGGTCGGTAGACACGTGATGGAGCGGTATTTGCTCGGGTCTATGGTATTCTGGTCTTTAGGAACCAAATGAGTGATCCCAGTAGTGAAGAGGCTCGGGAGCGACTTCTGGTCGAGAGCCTCTTGGAACTGTCGGGCGAGCACAGTGTGAAACACCACAAACCCCTTCAGCCAGTAGTGATGCAGCCCGTCGAGCCCCGGACTTTTCCGGTTCGGGGCCCTACGGACCGCCTCAGCTACGTCTTCTGGCGTTATAATGATGGGGTCCATGGGCGTTATACTCGCACACTGGCTCGCCACAACTTCCGTCCAAGAGCCCTCGCTGTGATTTACGGGCTCTGACCACAGGCCGCGCCAGAATGTTACAATGTCGGCCTGATCCGGTGCTGGGCACGTTCCACTTGCCTTTGGTCGTTCCAATGATTCATAGAGCCTCTTATGATCACCCTGGAAGAGACGATTTTGGTTGAACCGACTCGACCTCTCGGTATATCGTCGAATCCGCTTTCCCCAAGCAGCGATCTCTGGATCCGTCAGTTTTTGCGTGATATCCGGCTGGGACAAACTGACATTTGTCCCAGCAAATGCCATCCTAACGGTGCGCATAATTTTTTGCCTGTTATTGCCCGACCTGAAGCATATCAGTCTGCCGATGAGAGCTCCCGTTTGCGATACGCTCCTCGATTCTTTTTCTCCAGGCTGGGATAGCGCTACTTTGTCCAGTAGCGCGTCCAGCCATGGAAACCTTGGCGCCTATAATACGGCAGACTGCCAGCGCGGCGCCAAGAAGAATCGAGTCCGTATCGCAAAGGTCCTGGCTTCCAAATAGGTCACCAACGTTGGGTTCAGAGCCCTCACGACAGCCCGATTCCGCTTGCTTAGGGGTATGCTGGGAAGTCGCGGTCGATTTTCGAGAGGCGTACTGCGCGTTTCCATAATCATCTCTTCCAATGTACTCCTCATTTGCTCTATTTCTAGTTCCTGGGCGAATGTTCCATCATCATTTGAATCAGCCACCACTGGGCTATTCACGGCGGTATCCACGTGTGCGGGTTGTTCTGCAACTGGCACTGCAAGTGGCACCGCATCCTTAGCCATAGCATTTTCATTTGATGAGGGAACAGCCTCACGTAGCCGTTCGAGTTCGGTGACATCAAATATATTTGAGCACAAGATATACCGAACTCGGTCTGCCAGGTTTTGCTCGGTGACGTTACAGATGGCTCCAGCTCAGCAAAAATTCGATGCATCCTTGTCCGATACGCAAAACCTCCAATTTCTCCCCCCTATCGCCCTATAATACGCCCGCAATGCGTTGCTATTCATTGAGATTGTCCAACGCATGCGGCGTATTCCACCAGTGGCGGGTACCGATTGCTGGGCCCGCGAAGACCCTGCCGTCACGAAGCCTGTTGGTGGGGATGATGGATGCGAGAGGCTACTAGGTGGTCGAGCAGCACCTCGCACTCGGCTGGCGGTTCGCATGCTGTCGCGTCCAGCGTCAGCTCCAGACGCACCTCGGCGACCCCCAGGCAGCAGCCCTTTGCGCGTTATATCAAATTCCATCATCCATTTTAATTGATATAGATTGATGTATATTGATTGAGTTATTATTATTGTGGGGTATCTATATAGTTTTCTCATCTGGTTGGGTTCTATAAATATATAATTATAAATGAAAATGAAAAGATAAATATACATATATATCAATAACATAAAATAAATATAAAAATACATAAATAAATAAAAGCCCAACCAGATGGAGGCCCTCGGCAGGGGAGACCAAACGGCCGAGGGTTAGGGGGAAAAGGGAAAGAAACCGGCGGACGATGCGGGCGGTATCGAGGAGCACCGCCTTCTGCATTTGAGCCCGGAGCGGTCCGCCACGTAGTCCCAGTCGCCTCAGATGACCCGAGAGGCTGACTGGGATTAGCCCGTTTGCAGAGACGACTACAGGAATAATTTCGGTCGGCAGATCACCCCACATGTCAGTCACCTCGTGAGCCAGGTCCAGATATTTTGTTTGCTTGTCCGTTTCGGCTTTCACGAGGTTCTCGTCATACGGTATGGTAATGTCGACCAAAAATATCCTTGACTGTGCCCGATCCATCAGCACAATATCAGGCTTATTCGCAAGAATAGTCCTGTCTGTGATGATGGCTCGGTCCCAATAGAGCCTGCCGCGATCATTTTCGAGCACGGCTTCCGGCAAGTACTTGTAATACGGCAATTTCCGATCCACGAGACCGTATTTCAGAGCGAGCTCCTGGTGAAGAATTCTGGCTACTAGGTTGTGCCTGTGCAAGCACTCAGAGTTAGAAAGCGCCGAACAACCGGAGATGACATGCCTAAGTGACTCACCGGGATGGCGACAAGCTCGACAGATGTCCACGGTGCCATCCTTTAGGATGTATCTCCGATAGTTGTTGGTCTTAATAACCTGATCCTGTATTGCACAGACAAAACCCTCGGTTTCCCCGAAGAGATCACCAAAGCGTAGCGAGTGGAGGGAGGCTTCTGTGTCTACGATAGGCTCATGTAGAGCCTTGTAGAACCTCCCGTGGAGCTCCTTCTCCTTCCATACGTTCTCCCGGTCGGAAATTGTCTGCACTGCCGGGTCTTGCCATTGCTCGTTGGCTAAGGATAGAGGGGTAAGTCCTTTATCACTAGAAATGACGTCCTTATAGAATGGATCATCCGATCTCGCCAGGAAGTAATTACGGAGGCTGCACACTTCGCGATTATGCATGGTGAGCGCGCTCAAGAAGCCACGCCCACCATGCTTTCGCGGCAAGTACAGCCTCATTACCGACGATCTCGGATGATGCATCCTGTGGGACGTCATGGTAGTGCGGACTTTTCTATCCAGGGCGTTAAGTTTAGTCTGAGTCCACCTGAGTATGCCAAAGGTATACATGAGGACAGGCATGACCCAGCCGTTATATGCGTGTGTCTTATTCACACCGGACGAAAGCTTGTTAAGCACTTTGGTCAAGCGTGCATAAAACACGTCGCAAACTGACTGTTTCATACCAGCCTCATCGATACCGATGTTCTGTGACATACCCAGGTATCGGTATGTTTCAGCCTCGGAAAGGGTCCTTAAGTTGACGGGCATAGATAAGTCTATGCCCGTCAACATGGAGGACCGCACACTTATCCGTTCCCAGCTCCATTCCAATAGAATTGCTAAATTCACAAGTGATGTTTAGCAATTCCATAAGATGGGAGCGACTGGAGGCGAATAACTTGAGGTCATCCATATAGAAAAGGTGGGTCACTTTTGTACCTCCTTTCCGAAGCTGAAAACCCCTCCCGGAGCCCTCCAGTAAAATACTGAGAGGGTTCAGGGAGAGGCAAAACCAGATTGGACTCAGACAATCGCCCTGGAAGATACCCCTTCTTATCCTTATGTGGTTCTCCGCAGCCATCATCCGCTCGCCCAGATAGCAAAGGATTATTATTATTATTATTATTATTATTATTATGGTCACGGGGGACTGAGGTGTTTAACTTGCCGATGTCATAGTTAACCCGGCTACCTTCAGCTTTTGAATATTGGTCCGATCAACGCATAAAATTAAACTTGGTAAAATCCCTAAAATTAGTTTCTTTCTAAGTGTTTTGTGCGCACAATTTCCGTCTCTTCAGGGCCGGTACCAGATGCGAAGACCGGTTTCCAGGAAGTCAATGATCATACCGATGCTGACTTTGCTTTTATTCACGACTCCGCTGAGATCAGGTGAGTTTTGTTTTTTATTATGTAATAATAGTTTTGCCTAACAATTAGTCTATTACACTCACCTTTTTTTTAATTTATTATTTACTGCATTCCTTAAAAAAAATACAAGGAGCGAATTTGATGCCCTGAGATATTCTCTATTGGTCAACCCATGGAGTAGACATGTGTAAATCGTGAATGATTCGTTCATTTCAACCGGTTCGCGTAAACGTATTGGTGGTTGCAATTGCAGTTTTCAAACTTTCCGGATTAAAATGATCGACAGGACCTACAACCAAAGAGTAATGTCCGACGATCTACATTATCAATCGGGCCTCAGAGATCATAAAGTACTAAAACTCAAAATAATCCATATTCATGAATGATCGACCCTAATGAACCGGTAAGTAAGACGAATCAACACTTGAATGATCGGATCAGGATCACTGGAAATGAATGGCAAATGTCAACCCATGGAGAGGAGAAAATTTGACGTAGGTGTAGCAATATATTTTTTTCATATTTCCTTTACCGTTGCAGCCTATTTAGAAGTCATTACACTGGTCGATTTTTTTCCGTCTGGAATAAATAGGGTAAAAGGTGAACATGATAGAACCTACGGCACTGATATTTTACATTTTTTTCATTAACATATGAAATTGATCTATAAATAAAAACTACTAATTTGAAATAAACTTTCGGTACTAAAAATGGCAACAACATTTTTAAACTAAATAAATCATTGATTAAAACTAATTTTACGGATTTTATCGCGTTTTATTTATATTAATTTTAATACCCGACGTTTCGGGTGCTTTCCAGCACCCATGGTCACGGGGGACTGAGGTGACTGACGGTGAGGTGACGATCGTCAAAGTTAACCCGGAGTACTTTCAGCTTTTTAATTATTGTTTTTGGTCCAATCTTTTTTTTTATAGAATAGGGTGACAAACGAGCACACAGTCCATCTGATGGTAAGTGGTTGCTGCGGCCCATAGACATCTACATCTATCCTCCATTAAAAATCAAAATGCAGATGCGTTATCACCCGTGAGGACTAAGATGGAATGCCTCGTTTCCAGTAAAAAGGGTCTCCGGTTCTCTACACTCACCATACGAAATACAGCAGCATTAAGCTACTACATATTTCACGCTGGTATTCTGTGCGAGCGTGGTCCTTCCCCGGTCGAGCCGACCCATTCGTGCTACAACTATACTACTAATAAAACTGCAGCATGGCTCTACCACGTATAAATCTACGCAGAATGAACTAACTGTATTTTGAAATCTTGCAGTGGTATGCTTGGGTTTAGTTTTAATTTAATTAATTATAGGATCCCAAGCAGGTCGTAGTACCCAGCCTCCTTCTCTATTGAAATTAGGATGTTTTTTTTAATTTCAATAGCCTCACGTATCATCCTTGGTAGGAATCAATGTTCTTTCGCGAGGATTTGTGATCTATCAAATCTGATGTAATGGTTGGGGCCATCTAGAATATGATCGCAAAGTGCAGACTTCCCGGAACGTTGATGCTTCACGTCAGCTATGTGTTCTTTAACGCGGGTTCTAATTGATCTCTTTGTTTGCCCTATTTAGATCAATTAGTACCCGCGTAAAAGAACACATAGCTGACGTGAAGCATCAACGTTCCGGGAAGTCTGCAGTTTGCGATCATATTCTAGATGGCCCCAACCATTACATCAGATTTGATAGATCACAAATCCTCGCGAAAGAACATCGATTCCTACCAAGGATGATACGTAAGGCTATTGAAATTAAAAAACATCTTAATTTCTATAGAGAAGGAGGCTGTGCACTACCACCTGCTTGGGATCCTATAATTAATAAAATTAAAACTAAACCCAAGCATACCACTGCAAGACTTTAAAATACAGTTAGTTCATTCTGCGTAGATAGGACCAAAAACAATAATTAAAAAGCTGAAAGTACTCCGGGTTAACTTTGACGATCGTCACCTCACCGTCAGTCACCTCAGTCCCCCGTGACCATGGGTGCTGGAAAGCACCCGAAACGTCGGGTATTAAAATTAATATAAATAAAACGCGATAAAATCCGTAAAAGTAGTTTTAATCAATGTATAGTGTTCTCGTAAATATAAGAAATCATTATGTAAACCAAATAAATCAATCAATTAAAAGCTATCAAAGTTTAAATAATATGTAAATATAATTAATAACGTTATAACAGTATAATTAGTAGTATTTATTGATAGATCAATTTCATAATATGTTAATGGCTTTTATTCCGTTCACCTGTTACACCCTGTTGGTAAAGATGGTAAAAACATCACCAAGAATGTACAGCTGTAGCTTCCGATGCATAGCGGTATAACCATATCTTTACGCCAGGCGCAAAATAACCAAATGGACGACGGGAATCAGCATCGAAAGTGCTCACGTCTGGTACTGCTGTCCTCAATTTTTTACGTGGCAGAGCCATGCTGCTTCGTTATACTTTATTATGGTTGTAGCACGAATGACACGTAAGACCACGCTCTCACAGAATACTAGCGTGAAATTTATTTATTTATTACAAAAACCGTAACAGCACCATAACAGTATAAGACCAAGACAATGATGTACAAAAAAACAAACAAAAACTGATAATTATAACTATTGACATAAAAATGTATACTATTATATAAAAATAAAAATATAAAATTAAGAAAAATAAATATTGAAAATTAATCTCACAGACCCTGTGCGCCGCTTCTGTAAACTCTGCCAGGCTGCAGTGGTAAATGTCTCTTTCTTCAGAAATAATATGTATGTTCTTTGAACGAAATCATCCGAAGGGCTCTTGTCTCTATAAATATCCCCTCGGTTTTAGAGCCTAGCGGGATATTTAGAGACGATGGCAAGAGACCCGACGGTATGACTTTGTTCCCTTGGGAGAGAGGTAAAGCCCTAGTGTGGGATGCTACTTGCGTTGACACTTTGGCGGCCTCTCATCTCAAGGGTACCTCTTTTAGAGCCAGGGCGGCATCTGAGGCAGCCGAATTTAGTAAATGGCGAAAATATGAGTCTTTGAGAAATGACTACATATTTGTGCCATTTGCTGTAGAGACTATCGGTCCGTGGGGTCCACGTGCAATGGAGTTTTAAAGGAACTGTATCCACGACTGGTCTTCGCTGCTGGTGATAAGAGGGCTTGTTCTTTCCTCGCTCAAAGGCTAAGTATAGCTATTCAGCGAGGAAACGCAGCCAGCGTTCTTGGCACTATACCACGGGGAGCAGGTCTTTTTGACGATTTAAATTTTTAGTTTTAGATTTTCTATATTATAGTTTCTTCTTTTATGATGTATATAATTAGTTTTAATCTTTAATATTATAATTTTAATTATTGTTACGAGCTTGAGGTTCGTGACAATAAAAATTGCCGATAAAATTACCTAAATTAACACTTTAATTTACTTTACACAATTAAAGTTAAAACACTAATAATTTAAACACACTAATTCACTTAATTCCACTCCGAAGCTTCGCTTGTTTCGCCCAAATCAACACTGCCTCGATCGCATCTTGCAGCGCCTATATATTTGAAATAGAAATATCCAGAATGTTCAAGTAAACACGCGGAAGGTACCGAGCGTTCGAGTTTCGACTAGGCGCTGTCAGTTGAGCGATTTGTGATGTCATTTTCTCAATGCTCCCCTCGCTCTCGTTCCTGACACTAGATGGCGCTAGTTGACTTATTCATGCAACACTGCCCCCTCCTAAGACATGCTCGTCCCGAGCATTATCGGTCCCATAATAACGCGCCAAGCGATCCACATGGACGATCTTAGGAGTCCCTCTTGCGCCTTTCTGTATCCGGTAGGTCACATCGTTGATCCTGGTTACAATCCGGTACGGGCCGTCCCATTTAGCTTGAAGCTTAGGAGATTTCCCTTTGCTGCGGACTGGATTGTGCAACCACACAAGTGAACCTTCGTCGAACCCTTTGTTGTTCATTTTGCGGTCATACCGGGTTTTCATCTTTTCAGACATTTGCTGGCCCGATTGTCTGACGTGCTCATAAACGTCATTCATTTTTTTCCGCAAGTCATTTGCATAATCGGTTATACTGCGTGGAGCATCGGGTGGTATCCCGGTGATCAGGTCTGCAGGCAGCCGTAATTCTCTTCCAAAGTTTGCGAAAGCTGGTGTCACTGCTGTACTTTCGTGAACAGAACTTCGATATGACAACAAAAACGGTTGTATGTGCTTGTCCCCATCTCGTTGCCGAATGTCTACAACTTTTGCTAGGTACCTCTCCAATGTCTGATTAAATCGTTCCACCATTCCATCAGATTGCGGGTGATAAGAAGTCGTTCTTGTTTTATGAGTACCCATAACTCGGCAAGTTTCCTGGAATATTTGAGACTCAAAATTCCTTCCTAGTAACGTCGTTTAGACGGCGGTAGTCAACACAAAACCGCAAGCTACCATCCTTCTTCTTTACCAGTACCACGGGTGAACACCATGGACTAGATGAAGGTTCAATAACACCATCCCTCACCATTCCCTCAATCATGGTTTCCACTTCCTTTTCACGTGCTACCGGCAATCGTCTTGGCCGCTGACGGATAGGCAACTCTTCACCTGTGTTTATTTTATGTTGAACTAAACCAGTCTTTCCTATGTCAGCATCGTTTGATGAGAATACATCGGCGTACTCGAGTAACAACTTCTTCGCCTTCACCAATTCGTTCGGGGACAGAACACTGCGACAGTCTTCCAAAAGTGTGGTCACTCTCGTTTCTGAATCCTTGCTGGGGGTCCCACTCGATATATATTGGCACTGACGTAACCAATCCACTTCCTCACAAGTACCAACCAGTGTACCTTTTTCTATAACCTGTTCCCGGTCGCAAAGGTTCAGCACACGTACTCCTGAGATGTCAGTGGTCCTGACCAAGGTTCGAGCTACTTTCCATGGAAGGTTATTGTTTACCCTTTCCACAAGTACACAGCGGTGAGCTTGCCCAGCGTTTCGAGGAAGACTAACCGGAACAATCGTTTCCGATCTCGGCGGAAGAACAATCTTCTTGATGCTGTACACGTTCCCTGGTAACGCACCTTCCATAAAAAGTTCCTCCTGTCCACATTTCAAAACACCTTGCTTAACGTCGATCTCGCAACAATTATTCCTCATAAAGTCTAAGCCCAGGATGCAGTAGTCCATTATATCAGCCACGATGACATTATGCAGGTAGATCACGTTGCCTAGCTTTAACACCATCTCCTTCTCTCCACGGACGGGTATACGCTGACCGGTGGCTGTTACCAAATTAATGCGTTCTCGGTTGTATGCGGAGTCCCCGAGGAACTGGCTTATAAGTTGGGAACTAACAACCGTACGAGAGGCGCCAGTGTCTATGGTCAGTTTAAACGGCATTCCGTTGACCTCGCCCTTGATGATTAGACTGTTCCCATCATGGATTTGTGAGATCGAGATCCTTGGGGCTCTTTTAACATCAGCCAGCACCCGCCCCGCAGTTCTGGCTTTTACTCGTTTCCCTGCTGCTGCTGGGCGGTGCTGTTGGCCGCAATACCCTCCTGAGATCGTTCACCTTCCCTTTCTAGGGTTCGCTTAGGGCAGCTGGATCGAAGATGGCCCTTTTCCCCACAGCCATAGCACCTAGGGCTGTATCCTTTGTTGCGGTCGCGAACTGTAGCGGCTGCAACCTCCCTGACGCGATGGGAACGATGATCCTGCCGCACGGCTTCTACCTCCAGTGCATGGGCCAAGGCGTCCTTAAGCGTCTCGTGGTGCCCGAGCCTCACAGCAGCTCTGACTTCCAGGTCGCGGATGCCGTCGATAAATGTCTGCACCAGGTTCCCTTCAATGAGCGCAGGTACAGACCGGTATGCTTTTCGCACCAGCTTCTCCACCTCTAGAGCCCACTGCTGCAGGTTTTCGTTGATGCGCTGCACGCGATCTTTAAGCTGCGCACGAAAGACGTGTTCCAGGTGAGCGTCGCCATACCTCGCCTCCAATGCCTCAAGGAGTTGCTCATAAGTCACTTCCTCGCCGAGAGCTTCCAGAACTGTTAAGGCCTGGTCGCGCAGGCCTAGTGTGAGAGCAGTCATGGCCTGACTTTTATTCCAGCCGTTCGCCTTCATAACAGCCTCGAACTGGATTTTGTAGGCTGACCAGGAAGAGGTACCGTCGAACGGTGGCACCTTGAACCCACGTAGCGAAGGTGTTGTAGCTACTACGGGAGCTGTAGCTCCATCTCCAAGTTTGAGTTCGTCCAGTGATTTCTTCATGTCAGCCATTACGTTGTCAACCCGATTGTTTACTTGGTCGATTCGGGTTTCAGCTTTCTCGATTCAGTTTTCAGCTTCCGACAGGCGGTTGTCATGGTGAGCAACCCTATCCTTCACCTCCTTTATCTCCTTTCCGAAGGTAGCGTGAAGGTCCTTCATGAGGAGCATCTGTTCCTCCTGTCGGCGGGCCTGTTCCTCGTGTCGGCGGGCCTGTTCCTCCTGCTGCTCTTTCAACTGACGGGCCTGTTCCTCCTGTCCGCCCCCGCAGCTGCTGCAGCATCACCATCAGAGCACCTAAGTCAGGTGCCACAGACGTAGAAGCTGCTGACGGACCGGCTTCCGTGGCCCGCGGCTGGCCCTCAGACATCTGCGGCGTTGCACCACCAAATCTCCTCTGGTCCGTCTCCTGTTGGCGTTGACTTCGGGTACGGACACCCTCCGTTTCCTCCTTAGGTAAAATCGGCATTATTTTATCCCACTTCTGACACCAAATTGTTACGAGCTTGAGGTTCGTGACAATAAAAATTGCCGATAAAATTACCTAAATTAACACTTTAATTTACTTTACACAATTAAAGTTAAAACACTAATAATTTAAACACACTAATTCACTTAATTCCACTCCGAAGCTTCGCTTGTTTCGCCCAAATCAACACTGCCTCGATCGCATCTTGCAGCGCCTATATATTTGAATTAGCAAAGAAATATCCAGAATGTTCAAGTAAACACGCGGAAGGTACCGAGCGTTCGAGTTTCGACTAGGCGCTGTCAGTTGAGCGATTTGTGATGTCATTTTCTCAATGCTCCCCTCGCTCTCGTTCCTGACACTAGATGGCGCTAGTTGACTTATTCATGCAACATTATTATTGAAATTCAATAATTTTAAAGCACGTGACATAGGCGCAAACCAGAGCAGATTTGTCCTCCCATACGGCACCTTAAAGGTGGGATGTGGGCGACGCATAGCCACCGCCTTATCAGGCACAGACAGCTGCAACGCCTCCAGTAACAGGTCAATGCTGCTGTGTTTCGTATGGTGAATGTAGAAAACCGGAGACCCTTTTTACTGGAAACGAGGCATTCCATCTTAATCCTCACCGGTGGCAACTCATTTGCATTTTGATTCTTAAACGAGGATAGATGAAGTTGTCTATGGGCAACAGCGCCCACTTACCATCAGGTGTACTGCGTGCTCATATGTCACCCTTATCAAGGTGTCCGGTTACTTTTGTAGACACTTATCAACAGCTATTCAGGTAGCTCGTTGGTATCTAATATCCAAAAAATAAAGTAAACACCATATCAAGCCTTCGAATCAGATACGAGGTGACGCGGAATTGCAACCTGACAGAGGTCGGTGACGTATTCGCGGAGCAACCTTATGCCATCGCCGTTCAGCAGGGCTCACGGCTACAGGAGGACCTTTCCAGGGCATTGCTGGAGTTGCAGAAGGAACGTTTCCTAGAGCAGCTGGTTGCGAAGTGAGTTCTGTTTTGAAACTTCAATTAAAGCCGATTCACATATTTATAGTATAGTAGAGTTTCTCAGCACCGTAGAGATATTTTACATGCATATCAGGGTAATTTTTATACGTGGTAGAGCTACGCTGCTGCTATATTATGGTTGTAGCACAAATGGGTCGGCTCGACACATCTGCGTTTTGATTCTTAATCCCCAATTGAAGATAAATGTAGATGTATATGGGCCACAGCATCTGCTTACCATCGGGTGGACTGCGTGCTCGTTTGTCACCCTAATTCTATAAAAAAATGTAGATCTGAATGATCTGGATTTGAAAGAACCACGTGTTGTGTGAAGGAATGGAACCAGAGACTTACATATCCGCAACGACACGCTTAGTTACTGTGCTTCTGTGACTTCTTTATAACAGAAGTTGGTATTCAGTTTATGAGTCAGTCAGCAAGAACTCAATACTTATCCGTATAATGATCAAGTCGCTTCACTGGTCAGTACAGACCAGATCTCCTTGATGACGGTGTGTTTTTTCCCACGCTGTCTCGTTATTGATATTCTGTGAATAGTTTTAAATCAGCCGCTTGCCAAGCGTGGCGACTGTAGTCTACGTTCAGAAGTAGGTAATATAGTAGGTTCAGTATAAGGTGCATTGGATGAATGAATGCTTTCCATTCACATAATCGTTCGCGCCAGTAGAATTGTTCTTGTTTGAAACTAGTAGTATCTCCCAGCATGAGTCATAGTGTTTAGCGCCGATGCTGAGATGTTGTACTAGGCGCTCAGCTTCTCATCTCAACTTTGTCTTCAGATGTTGCATCTTTTGTGCCTTGTTGATCGTAGGATTGTTGTGAATTGCCTCCAAAAAAAGATCTTTCAAAGAAATCCATTGCCTGTAGCTGTTCGAGAATTCAGGTACTTCTATTTTCGGTGCAAATTTTTCATAGTAATAAACGTATTAAAGATTTGAGCCTTTGAGTTTTGCTTCCAACTCCCAGTGTTGTTTATCGATAACTAAGTTTTCAAAGTTTTTTTTTAATAATGTTTAAAGAGATATTAACACAATTAACTATTTTCTTTGATCCAGACACTTTTCTTTTAACTAGAGGTATATTTGCAGTGTTTCTGCCAGGTTAACCTCTCAGTCCCCAAGCGGTCGAATCGTACCGCGGCGCTTTTCCGTCGAAATAAAAGCGGTCGGATTCGACCGTGCACACCCTTAAACTATTAAATACTTATATTTAGAGACTACTTTTCTTAGTACTTAGTAGTTTTATTAGTGTTTTAGTATAGAATTTTGTTATAAAATTGTAATGAAAGTTTTTGTGTGAATATAATTTATCTTTCTACTTAAATAATTGTGAGTAATATATATTGAAATAATTGTGATTTTCACGTTGCCGATATTCGCTTGGTATGTTTTGTTTTTGTTATCAAAATACAATAGTCTTTTTGTAATGAAGTAAAAACTGACTTTTATATAGAGCATTTTGTATAGATTTTATAATGCCAAACTTCTTCATAGAAAAGTAGTCTCTAAATATAAGTTTTAATGGTTTTAAGTGCTGCGGGTGGGTGCGGTCGCATGCGACCGCTCGGGAATTGCTGGGCGCATGCGACTACATGGGCTTTTTGGTGGGATTGAGGGGTTAAACTCTGCCACTGTTTTCTAGATACTGGAATGAGACTGCCCGACAAGCGTGCCCTGATGCAGACGAGTCTGAAGGCATCACACTAGAAAGTTTGGGTAAGTGGATTAAAGTTAAATGGCACCTAACGCCTAGCCTTTTCTTAAGAAATAAAGTGGTAAACGAGCACACAGTCCATCTGATGGTAAGTAGATGCTATAGCACATACACATCTAGATCTATTCTCAATTAAGTATCAAAACGCAGATGCCTTGTCACTCCTGAGGACAAAGATGGAATGCCTCATTTCCAGTAAAAAGAGTCTCCGGTCAACACACGAAACACAGCAGCATAAAGCTCCTACACTCGGCGTCACAGAAATGGCACCTCCTTGAAAAAAAGTTACTTGAATATCTGGCTCTCAGTGTTTACATTTTATCAAGTCAATATTGGTATCAACTGAAAGTGCGTTTATTATCCCCACACGTGCTACAACTATAATATAGCTGCAGCATGGCCTTACTACATATGCCCTATTAGTATGCCCTTATTTTTTTGTAAGGGTGTTAATTAAAAAAAAAATCGGTATCTGGCTGTGTCGGGGTCACGGCCGTGTGTTTTACGTGAGTTCGTATACGTACATGTACGTGGCGAAGTTTAGGGCGCCTCATCTACTAGGTGGAGTGATGACCTGGTAAGACATGTAGAAAATTGGCTGCAGATGGGACAGGACCGTGCCTTGTGGCGTTTTTTGAAGGAGGCCTATGTTCAGCAATGGAATTGTGAAGGTCTGTAATGAATGAAAAAAGTGTACGTAACGAAACGACCTCCAAATGGCTGTGCTCTCCACCCCCCATTCCGCCGCGCGCGATGCGTCACAGTCCTCACACAGTGTGATGAATTTTTAAATCCTTTATAGCTATCGAATGGTTTAATTAAATTTTGGATATAGACGATAGATGTAGGTAATTGCAACACCAAACTGTATCCCCCGATTTTGTGATCATCAGTTTTCTGATTGTATCCCACTATGGAAGTAAATTTAAAGACATAATATATTGCATTCGTCAATATAATCTATTCGAAAAATATCGTCGTGCAGTGATAGCGTAAATGATTCCAATACTATATCATTCCCTGTTAGAGGCGACAGAGGGAAATAAAGCAGACGGTTGGACGCAAACTTGTCTCATCATCATCATCATCATTACAGCCCTTCACAAGTCCACTGCTGAACATAGGCCTTCCCCAAAGAATGCCACAGAGCACGGTCCTGAGCCACCTGCATCCATCGACTTCTTGCATGTCTTACCAGGTCGTCACTCCGTCTAGAGATGGGTCGCCCTACACTTCGCCTACCGGTACGAGGCTGCAACTCGAGAACCTTTTTTCCCCAAAATGTTGTCGGTTGTCAGAGTGACCGAAATAGCCTACATACAGAATACAACGGATTAGTAAGCTGAAGTGTCAATGGGCCGGCCATATAGCAAACTTGTCTGTCAAGGGATAATGTCCTCCAGATTGAATTTTGATCACGGCGGCCAGTCTCAACGTAGACTAGCCATCTACTCAGGACATGATTATAACTCACTCTCATAGTTCGATTGGACGATAATCCAACACGACTGGAGAGAGATCAGACCAATGGCTTTACGTGTTTTCCGAGGCACGTGGGTGAAACACCAACAACTTCCTGACTCCGGGCTGCTACTGAGAATTTCTTGACCGGAAAACCGAATAATCGATTTTTGAAACCCGGAATTCAGGGCACCCGGGAGATATTGGAACCCGGACTCTCATGATCAGCAGTCATGCTTACCAAAACTAGGCCAACGAGACAGTCAGATCCCTATAAGGTGCAAATGAGTCCCCCCTATGAGTCAGTCTAAGGAAAGTTTAGTAGTAAATTTTTGATACAGATATAATAATAATAATAATGTACTCCAGACCGAATTTCGGTCACGGCGGCCTGTCTCAACGGAGACTAGCCATCGCCGCAGGACAGGATTACAGTGCCCAAGTGTATGCGCAAGCATAGATGCACTCTGCATTGCCTCACTCTCGTAGTCCGATGGGATGATAAACCGACACAACCAGAAAGAGATCAGGCTTTACGTGCTTTCCGGAGCACGGGGGTGAGACACCACCAACTTTCTGACACTAGGCAGCTATTAAGAATTTCTTGACGGAAAAACTCAATAATTGATTTTTTTGTCTCGACCCGGGATTCAAACCAAGGACCTTATGATCAGCAGTGGCATTACTATAACCACTAGACCAACGAGGCAGTCAGATAGATATATAGTAGTAATAAATGGATGAATAAACTTAATAATTAAGGTGCCTACTCACTAATTTCAGGTGGAGTCTTTATCGCTACTCTATTCGGTCTCGGTTTAGCGATGGTCACGTTGGCGTGGGAAGTATTTTACTATAAGCGCAAAGAAAAAAATAAAATAAGGGCCATGGACGCGACCATAGAGAAAACCGATCCGTTCGCGCCAAAAATCCGAAAGAAAATGAAAGACGGTGTTGCCAGATTGCGGAAACGGGATAAAGGAAGCATCGGGAGAAATATTACTATTGGTGACAAATTCAAGCCTGTAGCGGAAAGAGGTGGCGTTTCGTATATCAGTGTTTATCCTAAGGGAGAATACAGACCTTAATTTCGGAGTACGAAAATAAAGGGCTTACCACAGTAGTCGACATAGACATAAGTTTTATTAGCATCAATACACTCACAAAATATACGTTTAGAAGAAAATAAAAACATAAAACATAATTTGCTTATAATCAACTAATGGAATGATAGTGTGATGTTTTTATTGTAACTTAGTTTTAGTTTAGCAAAATTGTTTTCTGCACTATACATAGATTTGTTGGAATTATATAGATTGAGATAATAAACGAACTGTTGTACAATTCAATGATTGTGTGATTTTAAGCCCATTATAATTAGAAACGATCAAAGACTTGCTACTTGACGGGCACTGCCCCTTGTATGTGGTAGAGCTACGCTGCAGCTATATTTTGATTGTAGCACGAATGGGTCGGCTCTACCGGGGAAAGACCCGCGAGATAAAAGATATCTGCGTATTCCTCGTTGGAAAATGATTGCCATGCATGATCTCCGCGTCTTGGTGGTTCCGCCGCCATAAAACTTTGAAACTCAACTTCTTTAAGTAACAGGGAGGGATATGCGCGCGTGTGTACGATGCCTGTAATACTGATGACTGATTGAACAGTATCTTCTTGTTTAACTTGTTTCTAATTTCACACTAAATGTAAACAATAGCGTAAGTTCAAACGCACAATCTTTTACGAGCATTCCCACAGCTGTTGATAAGGTTCCAAGAAGCGGCTGTTTGGGATTACCCAAAACATTGCTACTCGGAACTTGTCTACCTGGCCCCTTTTTTTCAAGTTTTTTCTGTACTATGTAAGTTACAAGCTTAATTGATACTTCGTTGGGTAGCTAGATAAGTAGGGATGTTTTTAACATGATTTGCACAATTGGTCACATACAATTATTTTTCACAAAATCATTTTTATTTTTAATTACTTATCTTCTGTTTGGAAAAAGTTATACTTTTAGTAGCGTTACTTCGAAAATGATGAGATTTTTTTGCACACTGTAGTATTGATAAATAAGTATCCAGGTTTTCATTAAATAAAAATAATAAAATGAAAATAATACAGCTGTAAGTTTTTTTTAGAAATTTTTGACACCAGACTTTTGGGATTTTTTGAAAAACATAATTAAACCTAAATATCTCGAAATTGGTCCACATTTGCATAATGCATTTTATGGTTCATTTGATAGGTTATGACCCCAACTATCACGCCTTGGCGGGAATACGTCGAGTTACCAGTAACCCTGTGTATATATATATATATATATATATATATATATATATATATATATATATATATATATATATAGATATATATATATATATATATATACACAGGGTTACTGGTAACTCGACGTATTCCCCGCCAAGGCGTGATAGTTGGTGTCATAACCAATCAAATGAACCATAAAATGCATTATGCAAATGTGGACCAATTTCGAGATATTTAGGTTTAATTATTTTTTTCAAAAAATCCCAAAAGTCTGGTGTCAAAAATTTCTAAAAAAAAACTTACAGCTGTATTATTTTCATTTTATTATTTTTATTTAATGAAAACCTGGATACTTATTTATCAATACTACAGTGTGCAAAAAATCTCATCATTTTCGAAGTAACGCTACTAAAAGTATAACTTTTTCCAAACAGAAGATAAGTAATTAAAAATAAAAATGATTTTGTATATATATATATATATATATATATATATATATATATATATATATATATATATATACAGAATGTCCCAGTAATGGTGGATAATCTGGTATGTGCGTTTTCGGGCGGGAGTAGATAGCCTCGGTTTCATAAAAAAATTCTATCCCGAACGGTTCGCGATCTATAAAAAAAACTAAAAAATACATACAATGTTAAAAAAAATATCTGTAACCAATTTTTGTAATGAAATGCCTACTTTTACACATTATCGGCTATAGCTCAGTAATTCATTACTTACTATAATACTATAATATTAAATACATGATATGCTACTGTTTTGAAATTCTCATGATGTAGGCAACATTTTCAAATGGTAATTGGTACCGTACAGATCCCATACGTTTTTTTTTCACCACAGGTGCTGAAACTTAGCAGTTAAAAAAAAGTAAAAAATTAAAACTTATATTCAGTACCGTCTTGTAAAATACGACTCATAGAAGTTGAAAACTTTTAATTTAGAAACATCATTATTAGGGAACACATTAAAAGAAAACAATCCGATTAGGGCATTATAATGCGGACGTGATATCCACAAACGTGGGCAGAAGTACGAATTTTCGGAATTTTACAAAACATGGCGTAGAGCGCGAACCGTTCGGGATAGTATTTTTTACTAGGGAACCAAAGCCACTCCCCCCCGTACTCGTACCGAATTATCCACCATTACTGTTATCTATATCTATACATATAATAAAACAGTAACGAAAGAAAAACTGTACATTGAGTATTTTCGAGAAAAAATAAGTGGCTTTTGTTAGAAAAACGTAAGTAATGACAAAAAGTGACTTTTTAGAATTTTTGTCTGTTTGTGCGTGTGTATGGTACGGCTTCATGCCAAAACTACTGGATAGATTGAATTGAAATTCAGCAAAAATGTCCTTTGTAAACCAAGGAACCCTTTAGGCTAAATATTATCACGCCGTATGTTATAGGAGGTAAGTAGTATTGATTTTAAAAGGTTTTTCTTCGTAATTGAATGCACAAAATGACATGTTACTAGTTAAAATAAAAATAAAAATTTAACCCTGGGAACATGATAATCACGCTATTTTTATAAAAGAGCGGGGCAGTAATAATATTATAAATAATGATTTCTTAAATTTACGCGAACACCACACATTGAATAAAACTAAATTTACGGATTTTATCGCGTTTATTTCACTACTTTTACTTATTTTTAATTCCCGACGTTTCGGGTGCTTTACAGCAACCATGGTTACGGGGGGGGGGGGGCTGAGATGCTTGACGTCCCAATGTCATAGTTAGCCCAGCTACCTTCAGTTTTTGAATATTAATTTTTGGTCCGATTTACGCAAAACGAGCTTATAGTATCATGAAGTCTTGCAGTGGTATGCTTAGGTTTGGGTTTAATTTTGTTAATTATAGGTATAGTTATATATAGTTATTATCCCAAGCAGGTGGCAGCACCCATCCATCTTCTCTATTGAAATTTGGATGTTTTTTTTAATTTCAATAGCCTCGCGTATCATCCTTGGTAGGAATCGGTGTTCTTTTGCGAGAATTTGTGGTTTATCAAAACGAATGTAATGGTGGGGACGATCTTGAACATGATCGCAGACTGCAGACTTCCTGAATATCGTTAGTATCGGATTAAGATGGAATTTAGCTATGCCTTTTAGAAAAAGATCAAATCTGTTTCGAAACTCAAGCGTTTCTAAGATGCGTATGCTAGTTAAGAGTAGCAGTAGTTTCTCTCGAACCCACGCAGAGCGTGAACAACGGCTAAGTGCTAACCGTGAGCGTAATGCACTAAGTTTGTCCGCAGAAACTAGCACGCAACAGCAATTACGACTAGAATTTAAACATTAATATTAATAAATACAAAAATGAAAGATCTGGAACGTCTTGAATCGTCTCGCGCATCACGTTGTTTTCCCGTCCCCGGGCTCTTAGAATTCGACATCAGACATTTTAGATCTTCGATTTTGACGACCCCGTTGTCGCTGGCATAAGTAACATCATCCGCGTACGAAGTTGCGGGCAGCAGCTAGTCTATATATATATATATATATATATATATATATATATATATATATATATATATATATATCGATATATATCGAAATCATAATGCCCTGGTTCGCGTCCCGTCTTCGGTCCGACTTTTTTTTAATTTTTTTTCAAGTTCCCTTCTTTTGTGAGAAAATCTATTATTTCGAGCCCTTTTTTATAGTATATTTTAAAAATACGAACATTTTAATTAAACTAATTGCACTTGATTTTTTATTCAAATAACCAGTTCAGTTTTTTCTATTATGTCAATAAGATCAAAAAATATTATTCAGCAGTATGTAATTTGTATCTAAATGTAATTTCAAAAAAAAACCGAGCAAAGCTCAGTCATCCGGGTACTCGTTTTTATGGTATAACTTTTGAATTTTTAAGCGCAAAAATCAATCAATTAGAGGATAGTCGAGTGTTTCAAGCTCAAAACAAGCGGTAAGTTCCAGGTTTGGCCTACCGCGGTCAACAGCTTTTCAGGTTTTATCTGTTACGGTCAATACGTCTCACCCCTAAATGTTAGAAGGTATAAATAACACAATCACTCGCCGTTAATTGGCGGAGTGAGAAAACCCGCTACCCGGTATCATCTCGTGGGTGTCGTAAGAGACGACAGAGGGAAACTGAACCAGGAGATGGGCAGCAGCATCTTCTTGGGCAGCGTTCGGGAAGCTTCGTCAGGTCTTCTCGTCGCCTATACCGCAAAGCTTTAAGACGAAAGTCTTCGACCAGTGCGTCCTGCCAGTACTCACATATGGTGCCAAAACGTGGACACTAACGGTACGAATACTCCACAAACTCAAAGTCACCCAGCGGGCGATGGAAAGAGCTATGCTCGGAGTTTCTGTGGTGGATAAGATTCGTAACGAAGAAATCCGCTGGAGAACCAAGGTCACCGGCGTAGCCTTCCGTATTTGTAGGCTGAGGTAGCAATAGGCTGGTCACATTTGTCGCAGAAGCGATAACAGTTGGAGTACGCGTGTCATAGAGTGGAGATCGCGTTTAGGTAAACGTAGTGTGGGACGCCCGCTGGCTAGATGGAGCGACGATATGCGCAAGCGGCTGGCAGCAACTAGATGCGTTAAACCGAAGGTCGGGCTAAGTGGAGGAGGTCTATGTCCAGCAGTGGACTGCCGCATGCTGATGATGATCTTCTTTATAACGATTCAAAATAATAAAAAAGCTGCGGTTGCAAGTCTGCCTGCTAAGCGTGGCACTGGCAAACTGCCCCTTTCAGTTAAAAAAGGGGATGTTTATGTTCTGCAGTAGAATTTAATTTGGACTGTGATGATCTAATGATAATGGTTACCTAATCACTTAATGATGGATAAAACGATTTGGACAAAATTTTAAGTACACAAAAGCAGATGAGAGATACCTGGAATATCACTTGGAATAATTTTTTTTAGGATAGGGTGACAAACGAGCACACAATCCAATTGATGGTAAGTGGTTGCGGTGGCCCATAAAAATCTACACCTATTCTCGATTACGAATCGAAGTGCAGATGCGTTGTCACCCGTGAGGACTAAGATGGAATGCCTCATTTCCAGTAAAAAGGGTCTCCTGTTCTCTACACTCACCATACGAAACAGAGCAACATTAAGCTACTATTTGGTATTCTGTGAGATCGTAATCCTTCCATTCGTGCTACAACTATTCTTCTAATATAACTGCAGCATGGCTCTACCACGCTACCACGTATATATTAAGAGAAAATTTAAGTCGTTTGTTTCTATTCGACGTAGTAAAGCAGCGGAGAATAAATATTAAGGCGCCGTAGAACATCTCTTCAGCTTTAACAGATAGAACTAAAAAAAATTTAATGTGGTAGAGCCACGCTGCAGCTTTATTATGGTCGCAGCACGAATGGGTCGACTCGACCGGGGAAGAACCAAGCTCTCACAAGAATACTAGCGTGATATTGAAGCATAATTCTTTTATTTCTTTTTCATGAAAATGTGTCTTTTTCCCCCCTCCTCCTCTTTGGTAGAGGCAGTTTATGACATAATTTGAACAAGGGCAAACATGCACACCCGGAATAATTGTTTGTAGGCATAATAATTGTTTGTAGGAATAAATCTTTGTCCCGTGCGGGATTCGAACCCTCGTGCCACACCGCTGTAATTCAATGCTTAAAACCACTGCACCATGAAGAATAATGCTTCAATATTTAATGATTTCTTAAATTTACGCGAACACTACACATTGAATAAAAGTATTATTTACGGATTTTTATCGCGTTTAATTACTTTAATTTATTCTTATTATTATCCCGACGTTTCGAGTGCTTTACAGCACCCATGGTCACGGGGGGGACTGAGATGTTTGACGTCCCAATGTCATAGTTAGTCCGGCTACCTTCAGTTTTTTTAATATTAATTTTTTCGTCCGATTTACGCAAAACGAGCTTATAGTATCATGAAGTCTTGCAGTGGTATGCTTGGGTTTGGGTTTAATTTTGTTAATTATAGGATCCCAAGCAGATGGTAGCACCCAACCATCTTCTCTATTGAAATTTGGATGTTTTTTAATTTCAATAGCCTCGCGTATCATCCTTGGTAGGAACGGTGTTCTTTTGCGAGAATTTGTGGTTTATCAAATCTAATGTAATGGTGGGGACGATCTTGAACATTTTCGCAGACTGCAGACTTCCCGGAGCGTCGGTGCTTCACATCAGCTATATGTTCCTTCACGCGGGTTTTTATAGATCTCTTTGTTTGACCTATGTAAGAGAGACCACATTCACAATCTAGCTTGTACACACCTGCATCTTGTAGAGGAATATTACATTTGATGGATGGTAAAAATTGACTAATCTTCTTCAGCGGCTTGTAGTATGATGATGAGATAATAATAAAAATAAATTAAAGTAATTAAACGCGATAAAATCCTTAAATAATAGTTTTGCTTCAATATTTATTATGGTGTGTTAAGAAAACCTTTTTCTGGTCGAGGCATCAACAAAAGAATGAAAGAAACATATAATACAGCACGCCACAAACAATATTAGGCACCTAAATGGCCCAAAGTAGCCAGCCTTTCGGTTTTCTATAAGATGAATTTCGGAGTGTGCGCATGAATTGCATAATTTAGTTCCTCTCTCTCCCGTCCACCATCGGACAACCAGATCTTCCGCCAGTCTCCACCCTTTCGTCGTTGACTTACCACGCATTCGAACCAAACGGTTTGCTTCGTCTTCCATCATACGTACAGCAAAGGAGTAAGCTGCTAGCATCTCTCTTTCCATCCGATTACAATGCGGGTATCTTGGCGAGAGTGAATAGGCGTTTGTCGTCAGTGCGTTTCATCATCTTAAACTTCATCACCACTTACCATCAGGTGGGATGGTAGTTAAGCGCTGGCTTACAGAGTAATCTTACTATAGCTGCAGCGTTTCGGCAGCACATCCTAATCAAAACGGTTATATACCAGGATATCATGAAATCTTGAGAGGTATTTTCAGACGTTGACAGAACTTTGTACGAGCTGCTTGGGCGATCCAATGTGCGCGTGTGGGTTCATGCGGGCTTAACAAAAGACTCCGCTAAAGCCTTGAAGTCAATGAGGCCAGAACCCGGTTTCTACGTGATTATTGGCGAAGGTAGATTCGTCAGAGATGCATACAAACGCGTGAGTACTTCATAATTCTTATTTATAAGTTTAAGAGAGTGAGACGTAAATAAAAACGGAGTGTTAAGATTGAAAAAGACATCGAATTTTAATTACATAATTGAATCAGGCCTCAGGTTGTTAGTGTAGAATAAATCTATATGTACTAAATGACCTTTTTACCGTCTGGAAAAAAATAGGGCATAACATGTGAACGGAGTAGAAACCTATGGTACTGATATTGTACAAAAAACAAAAACAAAATTTTTGAATTATATAAGTAAATATATAAAATCTATCGAAATTTCTAATCATATCTACCAATTAAAATTTCTGTCTGTCTGTTAGTTCCGGGTTATATCCGAAACGGCTGGACCGATTTTGACGGAACTTTCACTGGCAGATAGCTGATGTTATAATGTTGTTCCGGCTAATCTCCGAAACGGGTGGACCAATTTTGACGGAACTTTCACTGTCAGATAACTGATGTTATAATGTTGTTCCGGCTAATCTTCCAAACGGCTGGACCGATTTTGACGGAACTTTCAGTGGCAGATAGCTGATGTTATAATGTTGTTCCGGCTAATCTCCGAAACGGCTGGACCGATTTTGACGGAACTTTCAGTGGCAGATATCTGATGTTATAATGTTGTTCCGGCTAATCTCCGAAACGGCTGGACCGATTTTGACGGAACTTTCACTGGCAGATATCTGATGTTATAAAGAGTATCTGAGGCTCATTTTATTTTAGAAAAAGAATTAGGGTTCCGCGAAAAAATTCAAACCAATGAAATCCAATGGTATAAATTCCAAATAAATTATAAATGGTAAAAAAAAATAGTCCCGCTGGGTTTCTTGCTGGTTCTTCCCAGGACAGAGGTTTTTTTTGCGAACCAGTGGTAAATTAAAAAATAAAATAAAAAATTGTAAGTCACCAATAAGTATTTTTATAATGTACATTGAATAAAAAAGTTTCTATGTCTATTTCTATTTCCACGCGGGTGAAGTCGCGGGAAATGGCTAGTATTAGATAAATCTGTGTTAATGTGCAGTTGAAAATGAATAGAGCTTCCTTAATATACATACGTATTAATTTAATTATTTACCACCATTTTCAATTTTTCAATATCCTATACCAAACAGGCGGTCAAGGAGAAGCTGGTTCGACGCGACTACCGCTGGAATCTGGTGCTGACTGATTACACGGCGTCCAGCTTTGATCTGTCGCAGCTGTTGTTTTCAACTGTCATCCTCCATGTCGACCAAGTTGAGTGTTGCAAGTTGCAGGGCTTGGAGGAGAGCTGTAACTGTCCTTTGGAGATCGAGGTAATATCTATTTGGTTCGTAAACCATACATAGTAGGTGATCATGATCATGAGGTCCCGGGTTTAAATCTCGGGTAGTTCCAAAAAATTAGTTAAAATTTTTATGTTTCATTAATATTACTATTAAATTAACAGTGTAGTGGCGATGTAAGAATATCCTCTGCCCTATAATCGTCCCATGGGTATCGTAAGTGACAGAGGGTACCAAACCCGGAGACGGGCAGCAGCGTCGTCCTGATAACGATTAGAAAATAATAAACTGCAATTGCCAACCCGGTTGTCAGGCGTGGCAACTACGGTAAGCTTATGGGGTGATTTATGTTCAGCAGTGGACTTTGATAGGCTGTCATGATGGAATCAAGGCAGAGTCATGATAATCAAGGCAGTCATGATAATCAAGGCACAGTCATGATAATAATTCCTCTTTTGAGGCAACCTATGGGGTGATTTATGTTCAGTAGTGGACTTTGATAGGCTGTCATGATGGAATCAAGGCAGAGTCATGATAATCAAGGCAAAGTCATGATAATCAAGGCACAGTCATGATAATAATTCCTCTTTTGAGGCAACCTATGGGGTGATTTATGTTCAGTAGTGGACTTTGATAGGCTGTCATGATGGAATCAAGGCAGAGTCATGATAATCAAGCCAAAGTCATGATAATCAAGGCAAAGTCATGATAATAATTCCTCTTTTGAGGCAACCTATGGGGTGATTTATGTTCAGTAGTGGACTTTGATAGCCTGTCATGATAGAATCAAGGCAGTCTTGATAATTAAGGCAGAGTCATGATAATATTTCCTCTTTTGAGGCAACCTATGGAGTGATTTATGTTCAGCAGTCGACTTTGATAGGCTGTCATGGTGGCATCAAGGCAGTCATGATAATCAAGGCAGAGTCATGATAATCAAGGCAGAGTCATGATAATATTTCCTCTTTTGAGGCAACCTTAAAAGATGAGTTAGTTATTAGACTGAACTATGATGTAAATCTTTTATGAATACGACTAAAGAATCCAAATTGATGGACTCTAGTAAAGTTCAATGACTAATAGATGTGGTTGCAACCTAAAAATTAAGTGACCCTAAATAAGTTATGTGTCAACAATGTTAAGTCTTTTTGTAGCCGCCTAATTTGAAAAAAATTACCTTTTTTTTTAAATATTTATTTCTCCCGACAACTACCCCAAAATCCTATTATTTCCTAAATTTGTCTAAATATTTTGCTCTGCCGATCTGACAGACCTATCTGCAGTGGCTAACCGAAACGCGGCTTCACAACGTTTTTTTATATTATAGTGCAAACATCTTACTCATTTATTTTCAGAGGAAGCAATACATTTTGAACGCCCTTCTTCAGGTCGTAGCGAATGCTTTTACCAAGCTTACAGATGTAACCTTTCCATCCGTACGTTGTGGTGACCGCGTAGTAAACTCACAGGAGTTTGGAGACAAATTCCGTGACCAGATTGCGGTCGAAACCTCCAGTAATGATACTCTTTTGTTTTGGGATGCTGAAAGGTAAGGACATAACACCCGCGTATAATAATAATAATTCTTTATTTCAGATGTCAAAGATCCATAAGTTGTTAGTACAACTTAGATTAGGTTAGCAATTGAGAACATTAAATAAAATCGAATTGAATCAAAACTAAAACAAATTCAAACCCAAAAGGAAATCACAATGAAAATAAAATAAAAATAATAATCAAATAATAGTAATGTCAAAATTAAAATACAATCAAACAAAAAACTCAAATAAAAATCAATCGAAATCAAATAATGTCAACTAAATTAAATTAAATTAAATACAATCAAAATTAAATAAAATATCAAAATAAAACCAAATTAAGTCAGTTCAGGTTTAAATTAAATAACACTGTTTTGGGACTGCCACGTGCCATAAAGATGTGGTTTGTTGTGAATAATGGCTCCAAAACCATTATTGGTATTCCGCAAACATCGGTGATGCACTACAGAAACGAGTTATATGGACTCGTAGGGTGTCCAGCGACTTCTTGGTATAACTGGCCTACAGATTTCCCGTGTACATGTTTTGGCAATACGCTTTAAAAAGGGTCATCTTTACGATTTCGCTACAACGATAGAATCTGCGAGCCATCAACTTCAACTCAATCAACTCAATACACATACACATAATTTTTTAGCCTTTCCATGAATACACAGACTGGCATTAATCGGATTATGTCAGTTAGTTGGATTAGTCTTTCTTTTATCATAGTTGTGTAAAGCTCTGACTTTCATTTTAGTCCTTAAGGATGGCAACGTGATGATTGAGTATTCGGTGATGATATAAAACGCATCTACAGTTGGATTCTTGATCGAGGTTAGATGTGGATGTATGTATGTGAGCCGTGATATTTATTTACCATCTAGTTTTTATACGTGTTAGAGCCACGCTGCAGCTATTATATGTTGGAAAATGCGTGGATCGACTTGACTTGACCGGGAAAGATGATGCTCTCACAGAATACCAACGTGAAATAGCAACCGGAACCGGAGACCTTTTTTTACTGGAAACGAGGCATTCCATCTTAATCCTCAGGGCTGACAACGTATCTGCAATCTGCATTTCAATTCTTAATCGAAGATAAATGTAGAGATGTCTATGGGGGTGGGCCACGGTATCCACTTACTATCAGGTGGACTGTGTGCTCGTCTGCCACCCTTAATCTATAAAAGAAGTTATAGATTAGGAAACGAGTGAATATAACGCCTTGATACGTATCTTAATTAATGTTTTGCAATACTTAAACGATGTAATGTATAACATTTAAATTTGTCCTTCGTACAATGCGATGGTCTAATGATATGGTGAGCGAAAGTAGCATTAGCGCCATCTAGAATTACAAATAAATACAAAATATACCTATGCAAAAATTTTCTTTTCTTTTTTTTCTCCAATAGTTCGTAAATTCTAACGCTTATAACTGTTTGGAAATTGGAGCGAAAGATGCAGATGTGGCTGGTATCTTTTAGATATACGTGGTAGAATCATGCTGCAGATATGTTGTGGCTGTAATACGAAAGTGGTGACTCGTTCGGGGGAAGGATTACGGTCACGATCAGCTTAATGCTGCTGCGTGTTCGTTTCGTATGGTGGGTGTAGAGAACCGGAGACCTTTTTTCACTGGAAAGGAGGTTTTCCACCTTAGGCCTGAGAGGTTCCAACGCGTCTGTATTTTAATTTTTAATCGTGGATAGATGTAGATATCTATGGCCCACAGACCACAGTATCTACTTACCGTTAGGTGGACTGTGTGCTGGTTAGTCACCATTATTCTATAAAAAAATTGGAGTGATATAAATCCGTGGTTTTAAATTTTGATGATGTTAATTGTAGTAGCGATGATAAGATATGAGTTGGTAATTGTAGTTGGAAATTACAACGTTGATGAGATGTGGTTGCAAATTGTAGCTCTGTTTACATGTGATGATTAGGATGCAGATGGGAAATGAATAAGCCTGTTGAAATTTCAAACATAAAATTTACAGGCCATGGAATTTGATTATGAAATCGTTTCTCCCAAATCTGGTGGCTTTGGGCAGAAGCTGGCAAATGGATCTTGGAACGGACTCGTGGGAGACTTGATGAGAGGGGTAAGTTGACAAGGAGGAAGTCAGGAACGTTATTGGCGAGATATAAAAATCTAGACTTTATTATTGGAGTTAGATGGTGGTGTGAACAGGTAAGAGGTAAGAGCAGGTATTTTATACGTGGTAGAGTCACGGTGAAGTATATCGTGATCGGGTCAAAATAAGTTATTGGGGTTTGTGACAAGAAAGTAGGCGGTGTTTCAACCCCCGCGAAAGCAGGTAAATTTGATCGTCCTGCACCTGATCTCTCTCCGGTTGTATTGGTTTACCGTCCTATCGGACTGTGCTTGCCCAAACACTCAAATACTATAATCCTGTCCTGCGCCGATGACCTGTCTCCACCTGGCCGCCGTGACCGAAATTCGCTTTGGAGGACATTTTTGTTACTTTCCATCAAGTGGACTCTGTGATCTTTTGACGCCTTTGCTTCTATAAAAAATATGACCACTTACTTTAGTCTGGGCTTCTTGTTCGTTTATAATTGTAGCATCGTACAAGATGCTTTCCGGAAGTAAATTTAAAATTTCTTGCTTAGCATTATGAATGCCAGTCCATTTTCAAATCGGGGCGTTTATTGAAAGACCTGGGCCCAGCAGTAGACAGTTATTAGGCTGATAATCAGAATAGAATAGAATATAATCATTTTTACCCACTTTGAAAACGAGGAGGTATTCCATTCGACTGTATGTTTTTTATGTGTGTTACCTCATAAGTTTTCTCTGGATGAACCGATTTCAATGATTTTTTTTTAATCTGAAAGCTGGTGATTGATCAAGATCTGTCTAGTAGTTTTTGAGTTATCTTTGATAATGCTTATTTAGTTGACTTCAACTACATTGATGATGTTCTCATTTTATTTATATTGAAGTTGGTTGTACAAAAGTTTTAATTTTACCACTTGTATTCAATATAGATTAGAAGAATATCTTCTTATTGAAACTCGTTTAAGCTTTAACACTAGTTCGGTAAACACCTCTGTTCTGGGAAGGACCAACAGAAACCCAGCGGAACTTTTGAAAAAAAAATACAATAATATTATTAAAAAAATACAATTGTTATGAAAACATTTAGAAATAGCATGGTAGCAATCATCTTACTCCCAGAAGTTATTATCAATCATGTAATCTTTAGTAGTATGATATCTATACATTGCCCCTTTGACTGCCTCGTTGGTCTAGCGGTTGTAGTAGTGCGACTGCTGATCATGAGGTCCAGGATTTGAGTCCCGGGTCGGGCCAAAAAACCGTCACATCGGATTATGAGAGTGTAGAGAGTAGAGAGAGTGTAGAGAGTGCACTCGTGCTTGCGCATGCACTTGGGCCCTACAATCCTGTTCTGCGTTGATGGCTAGTCTCCGTTGAGGCTGGCCGCCGTGCCGAAAATTCGATCTAGAGAACGTTATTATTATAATACATTGCCCCATGAAATGATTACTTGAGGAAGGAACGTTTTAATTGGTTAAAGTTAAGATTTGATTTTCAGGAGACCGATATAGCTGTCGCCGCTCTCACTATGACAGCTGAAAGGGAAGAAGTGATAGACTTTGTTGCACCCTACTTCGAACAGACTGGCATTTTAATAGGTACCTAAGTATTTTTTATAATTCTGTTTCTGTTCTAAGTGTAGATTATCTTTTGTAGCCTTTTCTAATGTAAATAACGGTACGAAAATCTATTCGCGCGGAAGGCAAAACCTCCACGAAGGCTAAGCGGTAAGAGATTTAGCGTAGAGTCTATTATTATGAGAGTACCTCGTTCAGAAGCAAAATTCATTCCGTGCTGTCCACGGTGATATATTATCACTAGCGCAGTGGTATTAGTTTTGTAGGTGGCTGTAGTAAGTATACGTACTTGTAGGACGAAAGAAGGTGGATGAATGTGGACGACTTATTAACTTTGACATGTTTATTGGAGCGGAGCTCCCATGGCGCAAGAAAACGATTCTTTGAAATCTATCTCCTCCGTAACCCGTAGGCCAATTTAGACAAGGTTTGTAAATATAAAAAAATTGAATATGGTGTAGCGGCGCTGTCGTCGCGCCACAAGCGAAATACACCGAAGCTTAAATCACGCTATCAACATTCCGAATCATAGACAGTATATATAGAACTTCTCCGAAATATCACTCGGAGTGTCGGCCGCTCCCCAGGCAGAACACCTTGCCTGGCGGGAGATCTCCCGTTTTCCTTCCACGGCCACAGTGGTGACCCCCGACGTGATCTGAACAAACAACCAAACAACCTTCGGAAACTTCAAGCTTCATCATCGTCATAGAATACCCCACCCATTCGCTCCCGAGCAGATATAAACTGCAGTCTTCATATCCTGCAAGCCATCTAGCTTCACAAGGTTCATCGCAGCACTGGAATAATAATGCTTCCTGTTCCTTCAAGCTACTCTCTGCGCCATACAGTGTTCGGCACGGCTCTGAGCCTTACTGCTCGCCTCTGTTTCACGGCACTCTCGCAGATTACTTGCCTTCTTCTCGACTCACCGCAGACAACAAGGCAATCTCCTGGCACTTGCACATTCGTCGGCAACGAGGCTGCACTATCGACCTCCGGTCTGAGCAGGGGGGTGATGTAGCGGCGCTGTCGTCGCGCCACAAGCGAAATACACCGAAGCTTAAATCACGCTATCAACATTCCGAATCATAGACAGTATATATAGAACTTCTCCGAACTATCACTCGGAGTGTCGGCCGCTCCCCAGGCAGAACACCTTGCCTGGCGGGAGATCTCCCCTTTTCCTTCCACGGCCACAATGGATTTCTTTTCTTTTACTATCTAATCAATTCGCTAATTTATAATAATAAATTAATAAATTAGCGAATTGGTTAGATGAGCTGATTAATTTGAATTGATTAGATGAGTTGATTAGTTTACATCTGCGCAATGTCACACAATTTGATTGAATCTTTTGTTGAAATAAAGATAGTTATGACTTTAGACTTTCACTCCGCTCCGTTTATGATGCTAGCAAAAGGTTTTACCTTTGCATCTGCTTCGGCTCTAGTTATTAACGTTCTTCAGTTTGGAGGAACTTGACATGTTTAGGTATAAAAGGTGATAACGTAAGCGCTCAGTATATTCTTTACAGAATTAGGGTATAAAATTAGTCAACTGTCACACAATCCACCTGATGATACGTGCATGCTGCGGCTTATAGACAACTACATCTACCCTCGATTAAGATTCAAAATGCAGATGCGGTGCTGTCATTCGGCCATACTGTGATGTCTGGTGGTAGAAATAGATCAAAGTAGTACCTGTCCAGATGATTTCCCAGGTAGCAAAAGAATCCAACCAATTCTGGTTTAAGATACTCTAGCATTTTTTTTCAATTAGTCAAAACCATGCCTATTTCTGCTTACGCAGTCAGTCATTCAAAGAATTTCTAGCAAAACTAATGTAGAAAAATGGCGATATATCCATTAACTTTAGGCCAGGTGTAAAATACTCAGAATAGCGCCGGCAGCATAGTCAGAGCCGCGAGAATTCTAGCACTGCGATCGACTATCTGCCTGCTAAACGCGACGCTTTTTTATAGAATAAGGGTGACGGTACACGAGTACTAGTTCCCTTCATAAGTCTGGTTTAAGATACTCTAGCATTTTTTTCAATTAGTCAAAACCATGCCTATTTCTGCTTACGCAGTCAGTCATTCAAAGAATTTCTAGCAAAACTAATGTAGAAAAATGGCGATATATACATTAACTTTAGGCCAGGTGTAAAATACTCAGAATAGCGCCGGCAGCATAGTCAGAGCCGCGAGAATTCTAGCACTGCGATCGACTATCTGCCTGCTAAACGTGACGCTTTTTTATAGAATAAGGGTGACGGTACACGAGTACTAGTTCCCTTCATAAGTCTGGTTTAAGATACTCTAGCATTTTTTTTTTTCAATTAGTCAAAACCATGCCTATTTCTGCCTACGTTCAAAGAATTTCTAGCAAAACTAATGTAGAAAAATGGCGATATATCCATTAACTTTAGGCCAGGTGTAAAATACTCAGAATAGCGCCGGCAGCATAGTCAGAGCCGCGAGAATTCTAGCACTGCGATCGACTATCTGCCTGCTAAACGTGACGCTTTTTTATAGAATAAGGGTGACGGTACACGAGTACAAATTCCACCTGGTGGTAAGTAAATGCTGTGGCCCATAGACGTCTACGTTTATCCCCAATTAAGAATCAAAATGCCGATGCGTTGTCACCCCTGAAGACGGAGATGTAATTTCGTTTCCAGTAAGAAGGGTCTCCGGTTCTCCACACTCAACGTACGAAACGCAGCAGCATTAAGCTGCTATTTTGCGCTGTTATTCTGTGATTGCGTGGTCTTTCCAATAATATATAAAAATAATGTAATAAAATCATATTAATTGGTTCCGATTCCTCTAGTGATACGGAAGCCCATCCGCAAGACCTCCCTGTTCAAGTTCATGACCGTGCTCCGCACTGAGGTGTGGCTGAGTATAGTCGCTGCTTTGGTACTGACCGGGGTCATGATATGGCTGCTGGAGAAATATTCACCGTATTCCGCTCGGAACAACCCGGATGCTTATCCTTACCCATGCAGGTATGTGACTCAATGGGCTGGCTTTACCAGACTTGGGCGGACGGACCATTAATTGTACAACATATTATATGTCCGGTTGGGTTTCTTACTGGTCCTTCCCAGGACAGTTAAGTAATTTCCTGTAATATATTTTGAATAAACATTATTTTTTTCTATTCTACTATCAAATTTAATTTCAGTCATAAAGGCATTCGGATGAATGAATAACTATTCTTCTGATGATTAATTATAATGTGACGTTGTGGGCCGTGGGTTCGACTCCAGCACAGCATAAGTAACGGTGCAATCTAAGAAGTACATCAGTCATCGCGTTTGATGTTGTCGAAAAAGCCGACATAAGCAATAAATTGCTAGGGTTGTCAGAACGGGAAGTAATAGAAAAATGAAAAACTGATTTTATTTTATTTTACGTTTAAACAAATTCCTGTGTATGTGGCAACTGATGAAACTTAACATACGTATCTTAATATTAAGACGACGCACAGTTTTTACCACACATTTGTTGTGAACCATTTGAATTTATTTGTGTGACGGGACAACCTTATCGGACAGCTCCCGAGCGATTAACGGCCGCTCGGGAGCGCTCCGCACCGCACCGCACGATTTCCCCGTCTAGACGCCTTGGATGACCGATTATAAAGCCGACTGACTATACATGTTGGCCGAGCCAAGGTGATTATCAACATATGGACAAAAATTTGTCTAGCCTCGCCATTGCTCTTCGTCGCTCGCCTAGCCGGCCCAGTGCAGGCGAGCGCCAACGTGTATACGGTTCGCTTGGTTGGCGTGCCTTGCCACCACTCGGGATCGCTCGCCACGACTCGTCTTACTTCGGAACAATGTCGGTTTTTCTGCACAAATCAAAGCCGCTCGCCTACACTCGGCAATTCATGTTCACATTCAGTCAGTTGGCCATGTCAGTATGTTTCTCATTCAAACTTGGCCAACATGTAGACTTTAACACTTGCCTTGTATCAGTGCATCTACACTCGCGTCGGTTGAAGCTTGGCCAACACGTAATGCCGGCTTTGGTAATAGTTAGATATTTTCAGTACAAGTATTGTCCTACTGGTAAGTCTGCATGTGAGTCCATGTGCAGTTTATGTATTTTAACTCAATTATGTGGAAACTATTTTATTTATTTAATTATGTGTTGTTATAAATATAATAACTTTAATAATAATAAATCTTTCGGACTCTTATAAATCTGCCTAGAACTATTTCGTCACAATACAAAACACAGCAGCATAAAGCTGCTAGTTCACGCTGGTATTCTCTGACAACGTGCTTCTAGTGAGTGTTGAGTGTGACTCTTGAAATGTTTAATCTTAGTTACCACCCCCGAGGACTAATATGTAATGCCATTCGACACTTTCCATCAGGTGAATCGCATATTGTTTGCCCCACTTCAAAAAAAAAACGACGGAACGCCTCGTTACTAGAACAAAGGATCCCCGGTTCTCTACACTCACCATACGAAAGACACCAGCATTGAGCTGTTATTTAACGCTGATTTTCTGTGGCAGCATGGTTTTTTGCAGTCGAGTCGACCCATTCGTGCTGCACCATAATATTAATAGAAGCGTGGCTCTTGAAATTCTCTGTTTTTTTATTCTAAAACCCTAACCTGTATCGTGGTGGCAGTATTTATTTATTTATTTATTTTATTCTTTATTGCATCCTTAACAAAAGAATACAAAGGGCGGACTTAATGCCTTGAGGCATTCTCTACCAGTCAACCCATGGAGTGGTGAGAGTTTGACGTAGGTGTGGCAATATAGAATAAGATAACACAATACAAATGATAATTAACTACATAATATATACAAACTACTAATAAATAAACTATACATATATGATCTATCCTTACATATATACAAATATATAAATAAATGGATATACATACAAGTAAACATATTTAAATACATACATAGTTAGTATATACAAATGACTATGAATATATACGTCTGTTTGGCAATACATATTAAATAGATAAGTCATGTAGAATGCGTTGTCTTTAATAAATGATCACGGACCAACTTTTTAAAAGCGTACTTATTGGGAGCTTTTCTGATGTCATCGGGCAAGGAGTTCCAAAGGCGTGTAGCCTGAACTGTGAAGGAGTTACCATAGAACTCGGTGAAGTGAACTGGAGTACAGATTTTGTTGTTAGAAGAAGAGCGTAGGACCCTATCATGAGATGAGGAAGGATAATGAAATTTAGTACACATACATATATTCCACAAGGACAAACGTCCAGACCGGAACAATTATTTGCAAGCCATGCAAATACCTGTTCCGTGCGGGATTAGAACCTGCGGCCCTCAGCGCTACAGCTCATTGCTAAGCTACTGTGCCGCGTAGCTGCCAAATTTAGCCAAGTTAGTTAGTTACTTAGCCAAGTATAACAATTATAACAGATAAAATCAACGTGTTATATCCAGAGAATTCACTCTGAAGGAGAGCTTCTGGTTCGCCCTGACTTCGTTCACTCCGCAAGGCGGAGGGGAGGCACCCAAGGCTCTGTCGGGTAGGACGCTGGTGGCCGCCTACTGGCTGTTTGTGGTGCTCATGCTAGCCACCTTCACAGCCAACCTGGCCGCGTTCCTCACAGTAGAACGGATGCAGGTAGGTTCTCGTGTAAAAGAAAAATTGATTTCTTTTAATAATAATTCTATTTAGAAAGCTTCGCAAATTTATTTATTTATGTATCTAAACTTCATAAACAACAAAGGAGACAATTTCTTTTTGTACGAAGAATGGGTCCATCACAAATTTTAGCGACACTTAATGAAATACACGTCAATTTATTTCATATATATCTGTTCATTAATTAATAGTATAGTACAGGGATCACCAATTAGCTTAATTGCTGGTCCGTTTAAATAAAATATAAATCAGTCGCGGTCCATTTTCTAGATGATGACTAGCAACCGATGTTTAAATTGTCAGTTTACAAATAAAACTAAAAGAAATCAAACTTTTATCGATAAGGATCTTCTTCTTCTTGAACGAAACATAACAACATCTTCATAACTGAAGGTCGTGTCCGTAGTTTAAAACCTACGTAGCGCTGTTCACTTTTTTTATAGGATAGGGTGACAAACGAGCACACAATCCACCTAATGGTTAGTGGTTGCTGTGGCCCATAGATATCTACATCTGTCTTCGATTACGAATCAAAATGCAGAACAGATGTGTTGTCACCCGTGAGGACTAAGATGGAATGCCTCGTTTCCGGTAAAAAGGGTCTCCGGTTCTCTACACTCACCATACGAAACACAGCAGCATTAAGCTACTATTTGACACTGGTATTCTGTGAGAGCGTGGTCCTTCCCCGGTCGAACCGATCCATTCGAGCTGCAACTGTACTACTAATATTACTGCAGCATGGCTCTACCACGTATAAAAACACTACACTCCGTCCCTCCATTTTCGCATTGCAGTCGGGAATGAAAGGCCAGTAAGTTATTTGACCGACCAGCGGCTAGATGATCGGCCGCGTGGTCTTTTACCCCCACCCTTTCTACGACTATAAGACTATCCAAGTTATTAGGCGGATGTCGGGCAATGTTACCAAAGTAACTCAGAATACTCTGGTATTAATTAACACGTAGTAGAGTCTGGTGTCAACACGAAGCTGCCCCAGGATGGACTTGTTGGTCCCATTCGCGGTACATGGTACGCGGACATCCTAGTTAAACACCACATTTCGAACGCATCGATCCTCCCTTTTAATAAAGAATCTTATTAAAAAATAACAAAGTAAGTACCCAATATTAAGGCGAAATATGGCATTTTTCGATCTCAACAATCTGTAAAAAGTATCTATGGATTTAAGTTGGTGCACACTAAACCTTGTCATTAAACCTTGGAGATGGTCATCGTCAAAACGAGATCTAATTTTATTTTTAAATAAGTTCATCTTGGAAAATGTTGCTTCACAAAGATGTATGTTGATCCAGATATTATACAAAGTTTCAAAGCCATTTTTTATTCTGGGTATTTATTAACACTTGTTATGTTATCCAAAATTCTTGGCAAAGAACTTCAGAATTTTTGTGTTTTAAAACAGAAGGAAATTGAATTACCACAAATTTTTACATTGATATTCTTAGATCTTTCTGGGTCCGCTCGAACTTGGTCGGCAGTCCGGATCCTTTCCATTTTGTGTCTATTAAAGTACTATTTAAGTAACTAACACTATTTAAATTCCAAGGTGACTGCGTACTTCTTTAAAAATAAGATTTAAAAAATACAGTAGTATACGTAGGTAGAAGAATCTAGCATATAGTTAACCTGGTACCCTGGCGCTGGTGGCAAAAAAAGTTGTGGGAGCTCTCATTGCTATGCACTATCTAATACCTAAATACAGAGGTCTTGCGGCTCAGATACACTAATTCAATCCACACGCACTCTTTTTTTACTCGGGTATCTCGGGTTTAGATTATGGTTGAGGAAGTCTTTCTTACGAAAAAATTTGTTAGCCGCAACACCTTACTTTATATTTCTGTCCACATATAATTTTAATAGAATAGGGTATGTTTTGTCACATACAAGCACAAAGTATACGTGATAGTAAGTAGGTGCTGTGGCCCATAGACATCTACGTTTATCGTCTATTAAGAATAAAAATGCAGATGCGTTATCTCATTGAGGAATGAGATGAAATGCCTCGTTTCGTTTTTGTTGTGTTGTTTCTCACCATACGTAATACAGCAGTATAAAGCTGCTATTTTACACTAGTATTCTGTGAGAGCGTGGTCTTTCCCCGGTGGAGCCGACCCGTTCGTGCTACACCCATAATATAATTGCAGCGTCGCTCTGCCATTTAAAATAGTTGTAATAAAATGTATAGGTACAGTGTAACATAGGCATACTTGGGTTCCCATTCATTTTATACAGACCCCAGTCTCATCCCTGGAGCAGTTGGCGCGCCAGTCCCGCATCAACTACACCGTGATGGAAGGCTCCACCACTCACCAGTACTTCATCAATATGAAATTCGCTGAGGATACCCTCTACAGGTAAAAAGATCATATGCTTGAAATTAAGACTTAGATCCTTATTTATTTTCTAGGCTTAATCCTATTCACTTGTGTGTCACTTTTTCGTTTCATCGAGTTTCAAATAACAACGATTCTATAGAAGTTTTCACTTCAAACATAGTACTAATGTGTAATTAACCGCTTAACCGTGTAACGTCCGCAGGGTTTGGAAAGAAATTACCCTGAACGCGACCTCGGATCAGGCGCAGTATAGGGTATGGGACTACCCAATTCGGGAGCAATACGGTCACATACTACTTGCCATTAATGCATCCGGTAAGAATAACTTTTTCCTTCATCATGGATAAGGACAATCAAGTATTTTAACTACTATTACTAGCTGTTCCTGTGAATTTATTACATGGGTTGCGCGGAACCTTTATTCTGTTTTACCGATTTCAAAAAGGAAGAGGTATTCAATTCGACTGTTTGTTCTTTTTTATATGTATTACCTCATAAATTTTCACTCGGTGTTCCGTATATGATGATTTTTTTTAACTGAAGACTGGTGCTTCTCGTGTGGTCCTATATAAACCAAGATCTGACTAGTAGTTTTTGAGTTCTCTTTAATAATGCGTATTCAATTGTTTTCGAATACATTAAAGATGTTCTCATTTTATTTATATTGAAGTCGGTTGTATTTTTTTTAAATTTACCACTTGTGTAAAATAAAAAGACTGAAACGGACAGACAGATGGACCGAAACACAGACAAAAAAAATTAATTTATTTTATTGTTATAAGTACTGTATACACATTCACATCTATTTAGTAAAAAGCTATTATTTTGACGTTACAAGCAGACACTTCGATTTTATTTAGTTGTACAGATTTCTTATATTTACGCGAAGACTACTCATTAAATGAAACCTAATTATACGGATTTTATCGCGTTTAATTTTGACAGTTTTATTCCTGACATTTCGGGTGCTTTACAGCACCCATTGTAAATATTATTATTATTATCAAGAAATAATAATTATTATTATTATTAGTGTATTGAGAATACACTCTGGTTGGGCCCAATAAATATATAAAAGAAAATGATAAATATACATAAATATATATATCATATACCAGCACAAATAAATAAATAATACATAAATAAACAAAAGCCCAACCAGATGAAGGCCCTCGGCAGGGGAGACCAAACGGCCGAGGGTTAGGGGGAAAGGGAGAGAGAAACCGGCGGGCGATGCGGGCGGTATCGAGGAGCACCGCCTTCTGCATTTGAGCCTGGAGCGGTCCGTCACGGAGTCCCAGCCTCCTCAGATGACCCGAGAGGCTGACTGGGATTAACCCGTCAGCAGAAACGACTACAGGAATAATTTCAGTCGGCGGACCACCCCACATGTCGGTCACCTCGTAAGCCAGATCCAGATATTTTGTTCGTTTATCTGTTTCGGCTTTCACGAGGTTCTCGTCATACGGAATGGTAATGTCGACCAAAAATATCCTTGACTGTGCCCGGTCCATCAGCACAATATCAGGCTTATTCGCAAGAATAGTCCTGTCTGTGATGATGGCCCGGTCCCAGTAGAGCCTGGCGCGATCATTTTCGAGCACAGCTTCCGGAAAGTACTTGTAATACGGCAATTTCCGGTCCACGAGACCGTATTTCAGAGCGAGCTCCTGGTGAAGAAATCTGGCTAGTAGGTTGTGCCTGTACAAGTACTCAGAGTTAGAAAGCGCTGAACAACCGGAGATGACATGCCTAAGTGACTTACTGGGATGGCGACAAGCTCGACAGATGTCGACGGTGCCATCCTTTAGGATGTATCTACGATAGTTGTTGGTCTTAATAACCTGATACTGTATTGCACAAAACCCTCGGTTTCCCCCGATGAGGTCACCAAAGCGTAGCCAGTGGAGGAAGGCTACTGTGTCTACGAAAGGCTCATGTAGAGCCTTGTAAAACCCCCCCGTGGAGCTCCTTCTCCTTCCATACGGTCTCCCGGTCGGAAATGCTCTGCACTGTCGGGTCTTACCATTGCTCGTTGGCTAAGGATAGAGGGGTAAGTTCTTTATCACAAAAAATTGCGTCCTTATAGAATTAGAATCATCCGATCTCACCAGGAAGTAATTACGGAAGCTGCTCACTTCGATTGTTTCATACCAGCCTCATCGATACCGATGTTATTATTATTATTATCACGTATATTGGTCACGGGGTACTGAGCTGTTTAACTTGCCGATGTCATAGTTAACCCGGCTACCTCCAGCTTTTGAATATTGGTCCGATCAACGCATAAAATTAAACGCGGTAAAATCCTTAAAATTAGTTTCTTTCTAAGTGTTTTGTGCGCACAATTTCCATCTCTTTAGGGCCGGTACCAGATGCAAAGACCGGTTTCCAGGAAGTCAATGATCATACCGATGCTGACTTTGCTTTTATACACGACTCCGCTGAGATCAGGTGAGTTTTGTTTTTTATTATGTAATAATAGCCTAACAATTAGTCTGTTACACTCACCTTTTTTTTTTAAATTTATTATTTACTGCATTCCTTAAAAAAATACAAGGAGCGAATTTGATGCCCTGAGATATTCTCTATTGGTCAACCCATGGAATAGACATGTGTAAATCGTGAATGATTCGTTCATTTCAACCGGTTCGCGTAAACGTATTGGTGGTTGCAATTGCAGTTTTCAAACTTATCATAAAGTACTAAAACTCAAAATAATCCATATTCATGAATGATCGACCCTAATGAACCGGTGAGTAAGACGAATCAACACTTGAATGATCGGATCAGGATCACTGGAAATGAATGGCAAATGTCAACCCATGGAGAGGAGAAAATTTGACGTAGGTGTACCAATATATTTTTTCATATTTCCTTTACCGTTACAGCCTATTTAGAAGTCATTACACTGGTCGATTTTTTACCGTCTGGAATAAATAGGGTAAAAGGTGAACATGATAGAACCTACGGCACTGATATTTAACATTTTTTTCATTAACATATGAAATTGATCTATCAATAAAAACTACTAATTAGAAATAAACTTTCGGTACTAAAAATGGCAACAACAGTTTTAAACTAAATTAATAAATCAATCAAAAGCTATCAAAGTTTAAATAATATGTAAATATAATTAGTTACGTTATAACAGTATAATTAGTAGTATTTATTGATAGATCAATTTCATATGTTAATGGCTTTTATTCCGTTCACCTGTTACACCCTGTTGGTAAAGATGGTAAAAACATCACCAAGTATGTACTGCTGTAGCTTCCGATACATAGCGGTATAACCATGTCTTTACGCCAGGCGCAAAATAACCAAATGGACGACGGGAATCAGCATCGAAAGTGCTCACGTAGTCTGGTACTGCTATCCTCAATTTTTTTACGCGGCAGAGCCATGCTGCTTTGTTATGCTTTATTACGGTTGTAGCACGAATGACACGTAAGACCACGCTCTCACAGAATACTAGCGTGAAATTTATTTATTTATTACAAAAACAGCACCATAACAGTATAAGACCAAGACAATGATGTACAAAAAACAAACAAAAACTGATAATTATAACTATTGACATAAAAATATATACTATTATATAAAAATAAAAATATATAATTAAGAAAAATAAATATTGAAAATTAATCTCACAGACCCTGTGCGCCGCTTCTGTAAAATCTGCCAGGCTGCAGTGGTAAATGTCTCTTTCTTCAGAAATAATATTCAATAATTTTAAAGCACGTGACATAGGCGCAAACCTGAGCAGATTTGTCCTCGCATACGGCACCTTAAAGGTGGGATGTGGGCGACGCATAGCCACCGTCTTATCAGGCACAGACAGCAACGCCTCCAGTAACAGGTCAATGCTGCTGTGTTTCGTATGGTGAATGTAGAAAACCGGAGACCCTTTTTACTGGAAACGAGGCATTCCATCTTAATCCTCACGGGTGGCAACTCATTTGCATTTTGATTCTTAAACGAGGGTAGATGAAGTTGTCTATGGGCAACAGCGCCCACTTACCATCAGGTGTACTGCGTGCTCATATGTCACCCTTATCAAGGTGTCCGGTTACTTTTGTAGACACTTATCAACAGCTATTCAGGTAGCTCGTTGGTATCTAATATCCAAAAAATAAAGTAAACACCATATCAAGCCTTCGAATCAGATACGAGGTGACGCGGAATTGCAACCTGACAGAGGTCGGTGACGTATTCGCGGAGCAACCTTATGCCATCGCCGTTCAGCAGGGCTCACGGCTACAGGAGGACCTTTCCAGGGCATTGCTGGAGTTGCAGAAGGAACGTTTCCTAGAGCATCTGGTTGCGAAGTGAGTTCTGTTTTGAAACTTCAATTAAAGCCGATTCACATATTTATAGTATAGTAGAGTTTCTCTGCACCGTAGAGATATTTTACATGCGTATCAGGGTAATTTTTATACGTGGTAGAGCCACTCTGCTGCTATATTATGGTTGTAGCGCAAATGGGTCGGCTCGACACATCTGCGTTTTGATTCTTAATCCCTAATTGAGAATAAATGTAGATGTATATGGGCCACAGCATCTGCTTACCATCAGTTGGACTATGTGCTCGTTTGTCACCCTAATTCTATAAAAAATGTAGATCTGAATGATCTGGATTTGAAAGAACCACGTGTTCTGTGAAGGAGTCGAACCAGAGACTTACATATCCGCAACGACACGCTTAGTTACTGTGCTTCTGTGACTTCTTTATAACAGAAGTTGGTATTCAGTTTATGAGTCAGTCAGCAAGAACTCAAAACTTATCCGTATAATGATCAAGTCGCTTCACTGGTCAGTACAGACCAGATCTTCTCGATGCCGGTGTGTTTTTTCCCACACGCTGTCTCATTATTGATATTCTGTGAATAGTTTTAAATCAGCTGCTTGCCAAGCGTGGCGACTGTAGTCTACGTTCAGAAGTAGGTAATATAGTAGGTTCAGTATAAGGTGCATAGGATGAATGAATGCTTTCCATTCACATAATCGTTCGCGCCAGTAGAATTGTTCTTATTTGAAACCAGGAGTATCTCCCAGCATGAGTCATAGTGTTTAGCGCCGATGCTGAGATGTTGTACTAGGCGCTCAGCTTCTCATCTCAACTTCAGATGTTGCATATTTTGTGCCTTGTTGATCGTAGGATTGTTGTGAATTGCCTCCAAAAAAAGATCTTTCAAAGAAATCCATTGCCTGTAGCTGTTCGAGAATTCAGATACTTCTATTTTCGGTGCAAATTTTTCATAGTAATAAACGTATTGAAGATTTGAGCCTTTGAGTTTTGCTTCCAACTCCCAGTGTTGTTTATCGATAACTAAGTTTTCAAAGTTTTTTTTTAATAATGTTTAAAGAGATATTAACACAATTAACTATTTTCTTTGATCCAGATACTTTTCTTCTAACTAGAGGAATATTTGCAGTGTTTCTGCCAGGTTAACCTCTCAGTCCCCAAGCGGTTGAATCGTACCGCGGCGCTTTTCAGTCGAAATCCAAGCGGTCGGATTCGACCGTGCAAACCCACAGCACTTTAAACTATTAAATACTTATATTTAGAGACTACTTTTCTTAGTACTTAGTAGTTTTATTAGTGTTTTAGTATAGAATTTTGTTATAAAATTGTAATGAAAGTTTTTGTGTGAATATAATTTATCTTTCTACTTAAATAATTTTCAGTAATATATATTGAAATAATTGTGATTTTCACGTTGCCGATATTCGCTTGGTATGTTTTGTTTTTGTTATCAAAATACAATAGTCTTTTTGTAATGAAGTAAAAACTGACTTTTATATAGAGCATTTTGTATAGAATTTATAATGCCAAACTTCTTCATAGAAAAGTAGTCTCTAAATATAAGTTTTAATGGTTTTAAGTGCTGCGGGTGGGTGCGGTCGCATGCGACCGCTCGGGAATTGCCGGGCGCATGCGACTGCATGGGCTTTTTGGTGGGATTGAGGGGTTAAACTCTGCCACTGTTTTCTAGATACTGGAATGAGACTGCCCGACAAGCGTGCCCTGATGCAGACGAGTCTGAAGGCATCACACTAGAAAGTTTGGGTAAGTGGATTAAACTTAAATGGCACCTAACGCTGATGCGGTTGGTGTTTAAAATAAGGCAACAACCAGTCATAAAAAAAAATTATATATTGGTAAAAGAAAAGGTCGTGGGCGTGGTTCCGATAATTTAAAAAAAGTGCCCGTCTGGCTTCACTGGCAGGGTCAGGTACTCCCCTATGTGGCCGCGAGGTGGTCGAGCAGGGCCGGGGGGTTGGACTGTTCACGGGGAGCGCCGTGGGCAGCTGGCTGTGGCGGTGGCGGCGTCGAGGGGAGGCCTAGGCCCTCTTAAGAAGGACGACCGCCACGGTTGTAGTCGTAAAATTGCACCCTGGAAACAACGTCGTCCACATTTAGGTCCAGGTAATAAAATGCCGCCGATTATGAACCCCCGGTATATCGCAGGCTAGCAGTAGATGGGAGCACAGAGAGTAGCTGGCGGGTGTTCATAATCAGAACGGAGTTACAAGGCGGAATGGAAGGCAAGCGTCATAGCGGTGAGGCGCAAATTAAAATACACATGAATTAAAATTACGGCAAGTGTAAAATACTGTTTAAATGTACCAGGATAACTAATTTAGGCTGTGCATTGGTTGAAACATGATGGTGACTTGCGATATTTGATCGCGGTGCGAAATGTATGAGACGCCATTTTGTAACGGTACTTTTGCCAACGCACACAGCGGCTACATACATTACTTACATGCAAATAACACTAATAACGTGGCAATTAAATAGCTAAAAGCAAACAGCCTGGCATGATCAAATTACACTACCTATAAAACACTTTCACTACTTAAAACTAGGTAACGTTTCAACACTTACCCTTACGGGGTGCAAGACGATACGGAGGTCTCGGTGACGAGAATTAATGAAAAAACTATACGGCCACAGTGCCAGAATTATTATATTATTTTAAACTTTTTCCAAAATGGGATTAAAATTTGCAAGCGCGTACGAGGACACAAAGCAGAGCTTGTGAACGCGGCTGCAGTGGTAGTGTGCGCCTCCCAGGGCGCTCGGGCGGAGAATGACCGGGAGCGCGACGCCGTGGAATGATACCGGCCGGGTAAAACTCTGACGCGAGAGTTGCAAAGCGCATAGAGTAACGAAGCGTCAGAGTGTTTGTTCGAAATAATTATTTTAATATTTGATTTATTATTTAATTCGTTCTTTTAGTTTACTGATTTGTTTTATTAATAGGATACCTAAGTTAATTATAGAATTATTTTTGTTAATAACTTTTATTTTATTTTTATTTAGTTTATTAAATGTTTATTTAATTTTAATAAACCGTTTAATTATAATTATGCATACATGTACGTGCAACGTTACAGTACCCCGCGCGCTACATAAGGATTTTATTATTCTTAATTAATAAAATCCGCTCTAAATTGTTATGTATTCGCATTATCCTTTTATACAACATCTCTCATACTTCACGCGATTATATCAGCGTCAACGAACATCAATAGGGTAGTTGACGCATCCTGTCATTTGGCAAGGTGTTCCAGCATCGGTTAGACTGGAAGACCCATACGAATACCTAGAGCTAAAGATGTGAAAGTATATATACATGGTGCTCGTTTTACCCTGGTCACGGTAAAACGAGCACCATGTATATATATAAATATAACGCTAGTGTATTCCTAAGTAACAAGCAGAACACATGCAACTTAATTAAGTGTACTTGTAGGTGTAACATGGAGATCTTGTGATATTGCAGTGATGGTTGCTAGCCCATCTCCCACAACACACTACTACCCTATCCCTTAGTCGACTTTTACGACACCCACAGGAAGAAATGGGGTGGTGCTATTCTAACCCGACACCACACGGGGCAGTGCCACTTTAAAAAAAGTGTATACATATATGACTAAGTATTGTGTCCTGTTAATTTCAAATCCTTGATGTGCCAGGTGCCAATATCTTTCCCAGACATGTCAGCCAGGATGTAAACTAGGGGTGACTTTTTACCGATGACGCGACATTTAATAAATTTTGGCGCAAGTTTTTTACTAAAGAACTTATCCTTATCACTTAAAACATATGCGCGTTTCATTACAGTGTCACCAATGTTAAATTCCATAGGCTTGCGCCGAAGGTTATATTGGGTTGAGTTTTTAGCATGAGCATGCCACAATTTGGCCTTTACAGTATCGAAAACTTCCTTAAGACAACCCAAATCCTCCGCGTAGATGTCACGGGGAATCAATAAAACCTCATCGCCTAAATCGTTATCTAAATAATGCGAGCCACATGTAACGAGCTCCCTGCCGAACACCAGGAAGGATGGAGTGAAACCAGTCGCCTCACTCACCGAATTGTTGAGGGCGAACTGAACCTTCGGAATATATGTATCCCAACTGCGATGATTGTTGTCCACGAAAGTTGAGATACACGTGATAATTGAACGATTATGTCGTTCTACCAAATTAATTTGAGGGGTGTACTTTGGCGTGAAGAACACGTTAGGGACCTTATAACGATGGAAAAGTGACTCAGTGACCTTCGAAATAAACTGGCCGCCATTGTCCAAAAATATGGTCTGAGGGACACCATGGACGAGGAAAACAGACTCTTCCAGTAACTTCGTGACTGTAGTGGCAGTAGCACTTCTTAATGGGAAAATTAGGCAATATTTCGAGAAGCAGCATGTGACTACGAAGATATAAGTGTTCTGCTTCCTAGTGACAGGCAAGGGGCCCATCAAATCAATTGAAATCATTTGAAATGGCCTAGAACACTGCTTCGGGCGGCCCATTGCTCCCAAGGTTTGGTGATTTTGAGCCTTGTAAGACAAGCACTTCTCGCAGGAGGCAACGAACTTCACCACGTCCTGGTGCATACCAGGCCAAAAGTAGCGCAAGGCAATACGATGGTATGTTTTAAAAACGCCGAGATGTCCAGCCGTGGGTTCCGCATGATTCTCGTTGATCACCTGCTCGCGTAGCTCAAAAGGTACAACTTCCTTCCATAAGAACTCGGATGAAAGTGAGTGATTATTCTTGGCACGCCTGAATAACTTGCCATCCTTGATAATGAAATTCGGGAAAGTTTGCGGCTTAGAAAGGCAAGAATTATAAATATTTTTGTACCAAGAATCCGATGTCACCATGTTCGAACCGGAAGTACTAATCGCCGAGACGGGAAGAGCTCTAGAGAGGGCATCGGGGATCACATTGTCCACACCCTTACGATGCTTGAATTCTAAATGAAATGAGGACAATCTTACACCCCAGCGAGCTAATCTACCGGTAGGGTTCCTGAGAGACAGAAACCATTTTAACGCACTGTGATCAGTATAGACAGTGAATGGCCTACCGTTCTCCAAGTAACACCTCCAGTGCTCCAGGGCGATGACGACAGCTAATGTCTCACGCTCCGTTATACTGTAGTTCCTCTCTGCTGCTGACAACGACTTGCTCATATAAGCAACGGGGTGCTCCTTACCATCTATAGTCTGCGTCAGCATCGCACCCACGCCGTAATTGCTGGCATCGGTGTGTACTTCGAATGGCTTATCGTAGTCAGGGCAGGAAAGAACAGGAGCGGAAACTAAACACTCCTTAAGTTTCTTGAAGGCAGCATCAGCTTCGGCAGACCAGGCAAAAGGTGGTCCACCCTTCTTACTCGAAGTTAACTTGTTTAAGGGGCCTGCAATGGTACTAAAATTGGGGACGAAACGACGATACCAAGTAGCAGTCCCGAGGAAGCGCTTAACGTCCTTACGACATGTAGGTGTCGGGTAATTGAGGATTGCTTCCACCTTCTCAGGATCGGTACGTAAACCACTACTATCAACGACGTAACCCAGGTATTTGAGCTGACTGCGGAAGAATTGACATTTCTCTAGGTTTACAGTGAGGTTGGCCTGTTTCAGCTTATTAAGAACCCGAAGTAACAGGGAAACATGGGAATTGAAGTCGTTTGAGACGATAATAATGTCGTCTAGGTATGCAAAGACTTTGAGGTCAAATTCCCTAAATAACAGATCAACCAACCTTTGCTGTGTAGCCGGGGCGTTAGTTAAACCAAAAGCAGTGCGCTTAAAACGATAGGTACCGCGATTAGGCATATAAAAAGCAGTCTTGTCCCGGTCCTCCTGTGCTATAGGTATCTGCCAAAAGGCTTTGGATAAATCGATACTAGATAAGTAGCGAGCATCGCGAAGATTATCCAAGATCTCGGAAATGTAGGGTAGACTATAGGCGTCGCGCTTCGTGATGGAATTGAGCTTGCGGCTGTCGAGGCAAAACCACCAAGCACTTTCGCACTGCTCAATTACGTCCAGAGCCAGCATCTCGTCGACCTGCTCGGCAAGGATCCGCTGCTTCTCTGGAGACAACCTATAGTACCTTTGACGAACAGGCTCAGCATCTCCCGTATCAATACGGTGAGTGACCAAACTCGTCTCGCCCAAACCCCCGACGTTCGGCGGAAATGTCGCTAAATTGAGAAATGATGTCATCCGCCACTGATCTCTCCGAAACAGTTAAGTGGTCATACGCTTGTATGAAAGTGGTAGAATCGGTACTAAGGCTAGCATTCAATACTGCGGCATTAGAAAATGTAATGCTTGAGAAATGTCTAGGAAAAATGTTAAACTCGCGCCAAAAATCGATCCCCAACACGAGATCAATATTGATGTCTGGCACAACAAATGACTTAATTATATGGTACTCATTCTCAAAGTTTATAGGGAGAAACATATAGCCAATGCTGGTCATAGATTGACCCCCAGCAGCCGTGACTGTAATTAAGTTGTCCCTATGCAGCTGTAAACCCCGTTCCTCTAGCTTCCTATAAGCTTTATCACCTAAAATGGACACAGCTGAGCCTGAATCTAAGAGGCCAAATAGCTTAAAATCATTGATTTGTACACAAGCGTAAGGTCTAGGATCATGCAATGGTTTGTCCAGCAGAATTGTATCAACTTTATAAGAATTGAAGAAAACATTAACAGTGTTAAGCCAGCTCTGCCAATCCTCTTGGTCAAACTT